TTGTCCTTGACCTCGGGCGGAAAGTTCCGAACCAACCTCCTAACGGGATAAGTATTTGTTCCCACAGATAGATCACGTGAAATGCCGAACTGGAGTATAATACTCGCAGTATCCAAGATTTCAAGGACAAGTCAGTTCTTGTGCAACCAGGAGTCCAACCTCCCACATAATGAGTCATCATTGAATAGTCCATCGCCTTGGGTAGGAGAATTAAGAAATCCTGCCCCGGGGGGATTGGGAAACTGAAGACCTTAGTCTTCCCCAATAAGGCCATAGTGCATAGTCGCGCCTCGTTGTCACAGATGGTCAAAATTCTGGGTGCACTATCCAGGAGAATGAAATGGTGGACGAAATCTTCATTTCAAAACATCGAATATCGAATGATGGTTGAGCGGTGGCAACTGGCAGCTATTCTGGAAAGCCTAACTGAAGGGTAGAGCAGCAGATAAAGATACGGGAAACAGGTCGAAGGTTCTAGTGAACGTTCTAATAATTATTAATGCACGATTTCCTGCCACTGTCAGTGTCACTGGGTCCTTCTCATGCTACCACCTGCAAAGTACTCTCATGGGAGCAAGGGGTTCGAAGTCACACTCTCGAGTCCGGAATATCCACTACTGAGAATCATCCGGAATCTGAAGCCGGCGTGCCGACATATTGGAGTATCTGCCAGTAGTGAGGGGGATGACAAAGAAAGGTTGAACATCTGACCTTTGTTCCTACAAGGACCACGTGGACCGCTCACGGCACCAACCATGGCTTTAAGCAGCTGTGATGTTAGGTTCTAGACTAGAACAAAGCGAAATCCGGGACACCGAATTACCGGTACTCGTCCCAGGTAAGAAGTATGCTAGGGCAGAGATTCGCAAAATATATCGCATACAGGCGCCAGTGCGAGCTCACGAATCGTATTTCGGATACTTCCTGCACGAGACGGGTATGATACATTTTCTATGCGAGCAGGGCCCGGACACTCCCAAATTTTCATCCGGTCCGAAATATCCTAATATCCGGGGCGGTGAGGTGTATTTCTTACCTGTCTTTGACAAGTCTCCGTCGGAGAAAACGAAGCACAAAGGGATTGAATTACCAGGCAACGAGGGGCAACTGTGGATCGGACCTGGTACATGGTGGCGGTGTCCGGCTCTTGACTATACGGCACCCCTAGCATAGGTGCGAGGTCGTCTACCCGCGGAGCATCATCCCGTAGCAGAACAAAGAAGAGAAGAGAGGGTCACGGATAAGATTATTAGAGAGGGGAAATAACTTCCCTCTCCCTTCTTAGTTATTGATAGCAACTGCAATTCTGAATGATATACAGTACGGATATAGGCCCTCTAGGTAAAACACGACTGAACGTGTGTGTCAGGTTGGTGCTCAGGTGGCTATTTACTATAAATGCACCGGTATTATCAAACTGTCCACTCACTGTTGACTATGATTGATACCTTGTGAGTAACTACCCATGCCAAAGTTCCAACCACTTCGAAAGATGCTACCGTATACAACCCTCAAAGTAGGTGGCAATAATGACTGCGGTATTTAGTGACTAAATTCACCATCGGGGTCGGAGCTTGCCTGATGAGCAAGAGGGTAAACGTAATTAAGCCAAGACATCGAGTGACGAGTCGTGATAGGAAGATTACTATCATAAAACGGCACTGGCAACATCTGGTCGAACCCAGACCCACATTCCGTAGAGTGTAATCGAAGTACGAGTACGGTACTGGCAAAAATTGTCAACTATTAGTTATGGAAAGATATGAGAACTATGGACTAAAGCATGCTTCGCGATAGCAAGCTGAATGAGTAAATACGGCACTCGAGTGCTCGAGCTGGAGCCTTCAATCGCGAATTCACTTAGTTTGGGTACCAGATATAATACGAAATTTTATTCCAGGTTGGAGGTCTATTCACAAATTAAACTCAGAGGTTTTACACATCTTTACACTCATTCGGCCTGTTTGCTCAGCCGATATTTCGCAAGAGATAGGGAGGGCAGACCACATGAGACCCCCACTCATGGAATCCCCCGTCGCCACCCCCCAGCACCGTATAGTGATCCGACAGGAACAACGATTACCTCAACACGTCCGTTGTGGGCACAGTACTGTAGCAAGCCCTGATTGCATTTATTCTTTTTCCTCTGGGGGCTGCAGGCACACGCAAGTCTTTAGTACTGTAACTTCTATTGCAGTGGATATTACCGTGACTACTCGGGCCAGTAGTCTTGTGCGGGCAGCCACGGTTGGCATGGAGCGAGCGTAGTAGTTCTACTAGCACAAAGGGAGTTTTATTGGGGGGGGGCAGATTGGCAGGTTGGCGAAATCCCCGTTTGGTAAAGAATGTAGGTTCTGGCCCATTCCCGAAGAATTGTATGGCTTCCCGGCCCCGCTCTCACGAATCCCTCGCTGGATTCGATGGGTGCGGGACGATACCAATACAGTCCCTGTATTGCCTGGCAGTATTCCCTCGAAGACCTTTCGGTATAAAGTTAACACCGGTACGAATCCAAGTGTAGGAAACTCCGCAGATCCCAGGCCTGCTTTGTATATCCCCGGGTGGTCGGCGCAATACTGTCGCATCGTCAGCTGTTCCTGTGAGAGTGGGGGAAGAGGACCCCCCCCCAGTAGCCCGCCGGCAGGGTTCCCAACGGGGACGGGACAGGACCGTTTCCTACTGTCTATCCGGGGCGGTGATTCTGAGGACGGTGGGCCCTACTGAGCAGGGTGGGGTAGTGGCGTTCGGGAGTGGGGGCCCGTGGCTGCAAGGGACGGCCTTGGCAAGGCCAAAGATCGCGCATGAAGGCGGCTGCCATGAAAGGGCATGAGAAAGTCTATCAGCGTTTTTATTCCAGTTCCCCTGACACCCACAATCATCTTGAGGATATGAGTTGATGGGAGTCATTCCGTAGCGCAGTAATCAGTCCGACCGGTGGGTCAAATGTATACAAACATGTTAGCCATCCGGCCACTCTAGCCAGTCCACTGTAGTTTTACAGAGCCTGTGCCTGTGTGACGGAGATAACTGCCGGTACAGTGCCGTAGCTCAAGCTCGGCGGTAATGGGTGACTGCTAATAGTAATACCGGCACTCAAAACCATCCGATCAGAGCCGTAAGATCTGCAGGCAACTCGGAAGGTGCACCGCCAGCAGGTTTTCACCTTTTATCACTCATGGTACAAGAGTGGGCCATCGCTGTCCGAGCAGCAACAGCTTCGCATATGATGGAAACATGATGTAACGGGGATTATTGCCAGGACCGTTGCACTGATGATCACCGGGATCGGGTCCGACTTGGATTCGGAGACGCAGATCTGCTGCAGTCCCGTCTTGGAAGAAGAGGTTGGGATCGGTCCGGCCGTTCCTCGAAGCCGGGCTGGCTTACGAGTACTGGCCACCTGGGATCGCCGGTCGGATAACATGAATGGGTGACTAGGCTTTAGCCAAAGTTGTACAAGGTTGCGGGTGAAGATCAGCGCCTACTGCAACACCAAGGGTAGCCCTTTCTGTTAGGCTAGTTATTAAATTATGTCCCTACTTCCAAGGGTCTCCACGAACCCGGAGGGGGGTAGGATAGGGTAGTGTTTTTTTTTAAAAAAAAAAACGCTCCTGTGCCGTTTCAAAACATGGTGGATGTGAAATCGAGCGTATCCACTGGGGCTAGGACTAGTCCCTGAGGGCTTCTATCATATGGTAACAACTACCGTAGCTAAATTTATGGCTCGCTGCAGCTATGCCTTTAACGTGCCAAGGGGAACAAATTCGGTGGGTCGTTTGCAACCTCTCTGTTCACTATGATCGGTGTCCATACTAAATCGCCCGATACACCAGTCTTCACGGACTATTCCGGTATCCGAGTAACTGCAATGACCCGAGTATTGAATTTATTGGTGAGCAATATCTATATCGCAACCCACCCGCCAGACATACGGTGGGCCTTAAACCGGGTGCATACTCGTACAGTACAGTACTAGTACCGGTACTCCAAGTCGCTGAGCATGAGATGGCACTCGTACGGTACGTACCTATCAATGTTGTATATTGTTGTATATTGCATGTTCCTTGGTATTGCTTTAAGATGGGTTGTTGCAGGTTGCATGCAACATGCTGTGGATTCATGCTTACTCGTGTGTTCTTCCTTGTCACCTTGTCTGGAGGCCGCGCGTCTACTGTTTGCTCTGAGAGAGAGGCAAGATCCCAGCTCGGCTCTCAGTGGAAGTGGGCGGCTATAAAAGGACACCTGCTCTTGTTGTTTCCTCTAGATAGACTTAATTAACGAACCTTCCGCTGCTGAAAAAACTCTTGACACTTGTGAGATTCTAACAATCAACACTCAGACTATCCACCGGTTCGATCATTTCCCTGGGGCCATTAGCGTAACAGCCTAATAGGCAGATCCAAGTATCTATGTAATTTATTCAAGGTATATGCTGTGTATGTACTCGAGTACTCGAGTATATTACGATTTATCCTATCCGACTGTGACCGGAACTCATTTCCCGACACTACCTCGTACTGAAATGTTGGTCCCCTACGGGATGCATGCTCCCACTTATAAGTAGTATTAGGCACCGGTAACGGAGATCTGTCACTATCCTTGCTCGTATGAGATCAGGACTTGGCTGATCAGTTGATGAGGGAAACGCTCAGGAATGATATTATTTAAGTGACTGTTCAGTCCCAGCATTAACTGGTGATTGTCCAGCTTGATTATATCATGATCTGGATTATTTAGTGTTTCGTGCTTGTATGAACGATGACAGTAGTGTTTATCAATTTAACAGACTGGTAATCATGCTGGTATCATGCTGGTAAATTAGATGGGGGGTTGTGCCCTATGGTTGGTGTGGTAAGACAATTACCGTATAATAGGGTTGAAAGAAATCACATTTGGGCTCCATCCCCATCCCTCCTCCCTCTGCCCCACCCCTATATCCACATCTCCGTTCAAGAAATCAGCTAGAAGTCTCGCCGAGAAACTACGTGCCAGAAAATCCAATGCCCTTCCTCGCGCTCCCGAACGAGATCGTTCTCCAAATATCCAAATTCCAATCTCCCCCGGACCTGAACTCCCTCCTAAAAACCAGCCGTCGGTTCGCTGCCCTGCTGAAACCTGAGCTCATCGACGCCGCTTGTTGCGCCGCCTACAGTAACTACGGCAAGCGTGCAATCCGTCAAGCTGCATCCCGCCGTGAAAACGATATGGTAAAGCGCCTCCTCTCCAAGGGCCTTCCAAAGTATGAAAACGCCATCCTCCACGACGCAGCCTCGACCGAACCGGACTGCTCTGCCATGAAAATCCTCCTCATCTGCGGCATCGACCCGGACGGTCGCGATGACCGGGGCCGCACGGCGCTCGCGTGTGCTGCGGCCGCAGGGAGGGGTGGAGCAGTGGAACTTCTATTGAAGAACCGCCGGGTTATGGTCGACTCCTGTGATTTGAATAGAAGAACCGCCTTGGGGGTCGCTGCGGAATCTGGGAATGAGAAGATCGTTGAGCTCTTGCTTGATGCTGGGGCTGATGTGGACTGGGTGGATGAATGCGGCTTGACACCGCTGCTTGTGGCTTCTGGCGAGGGTCATGATAGAATTGTCCAGCTCTTATTGTACAACGATGCCAACATTAATTGGGCTGATCATGGCGGTCGTACCTCTTTGCATATTGCTGCAGCGTACGGGCATGAGGGAGTGGTGAAAGTCTTGCTCGGAGATAGGTAGATGGGGGCCCCATCAATAGGGAAATGGAGAGAGACATGGGCTTTCCTTTTTCCTTTCCGCGCACTGGTTCCGGTCGGAATTTTTTTTAGGAGGAAATATTTATCAATCTGCCGGTTTTCGTTCATTCCTTTGACGGATTGTCCTTGTTGTTTTTTTCCCACTTTTGTTTCCACGCTCTCTTTGGATTATGCATATGGTATCGATCCATATGTTGCATATCTATGGATATCTAGTGAATTCGATCTCCATCTATTTACTCCTAAAGGGCGGACACTATAAATTTGCGCCAGCTATCAGGGAGAGAGCCCGTCGTGAATATCGTGAACCGCTGGCACGCGATGGCAGGTGCTCGGTCTCCATATTTCTTGATAAATCCAGTAAAATATAACCCCCCCCCTCAGTTTCGGCTTAAACTAGAATCATAGCGGCAGGAACACAGCCACTACCCCAAGATCCTTGACACCGGGTTTCCTAAACCCCATCTGATACAGCAACTCCCCTCCCTAGGATTACGGTCGGTTTCGCATCACCTCCGGTGTGTGCAAAGTTCCCCAAGAGCCCCCGGCAACCCCACCCCGCACACAATGCCCTAGTGCCCCGGGGCTAAGGCCACTGGTCACTATTTAAGGGCTTACGGGCGCAGTCTTTGAATGGAGTAAGTCTAACCAATACGAATATGTCATCATACCTTTTCCACTCATAGTAATAAGGAACTGCATAGGCAGCCTTACTCATTCACACGGAATCACTCGATGGGACGCTTTTTCCACACATGGGAAGCCTGGGGGGGGCTTCTCCAGAGCACATAGTGTAGGAGCCAAAAAGGCGCTCGCACTATTATCTATTGTGCCATAGGAACTGACGTGCTTGATAATTTGCCCCCCCCCAGACCCGGCTATCCTACGCATGTGTGCACCGCATGCGGCGACGACAGTTCTTTCTGCCTATGTTAAAGGCGTTGTGCCTTTTCTTCTTCCTTCAGCTCCGCAGTACGAGAACAGTGCGAGTAATCCCTATCTCCTTCCCCACTTTCACAACAGTGTGTGCCGTGCTATTGTGTTTTGCAGCCAATGGCTTAGGGTTGTTGGCAACAGAGATAAACTGGCACGGCCGCTAGACTAATCCTGCGAGGAAAGTCTCGGGTGAGTAAATGTGTTATCTCGCAGTTGGGTTCGGGTGTAAAAAAAAAAGACTCTTTCTTTTCTTTTCGTGTGCTAGGGAGTACTCGAGTACTGGTATCATTCTTGAGAGATTGTCGGGGGAAAGGGGGTGTGGTGTGGTCGGCTATGGATGGATGTTCCCGGAGAATGGGGGTAACTGGATGTGGAACGCTGGGGTCGCTCATTAGTGGGTGCTGGTACAAGTACTCGTAATTTACGTGTAGGATTTGTAATAACGCAAGTGTTGGGAAAAATAGGGGGGTAATTTAGAGGGAACTCCTTCCTTGTTGCGGAGGGAGCTAAATACCGTATCGAACTGAAAAAGGGATTTTTTTGAGTGGAAGGTTCCCGGTGGATCTACTGGGCTTATTTATAAGAAAGGCGTTACACACATCAAAGTTCTTCAACCTGAAACGCTCTCATATACAGCTAAATAGTTTTCAGCCCCGGAGCTACTATAGATTAAATGCCTCTAACATTAACAAATATTCCGAGATTCTCTTCAGCCTTGGATTACGATAACAAATAAATGCCGGTATTCCTGTGAATGGAAAACACGTGACCTGTCATCAGTGTCTGGGGGTCGGCGCAAGAGGTGAGACAAGCCACCGAGCTGCGGCGCACAGAGCAAAAAACGAGGAACTCGTGGAAAGTTTAAAAGGTCGTTCCCGTACTTGTACTCGAGTACTGTACAGTACTTGTACAGCATCTCGTTCCCACCCCTAAGTCTGCTGGGCGAGATCCTCCGCACATACCTTCCCACCAGTGTTGGTGAAGCGCCAGCGCCCTCCTTGGGGTGAACCGCCGTCTGGCATTCCTCTTCACCCCGGCGCTCACGAACGTTATGCCCGTGTATTCCTCGACGGGAGCGAAGCATTCCGCACGAATGCCTTATGTTTCTCGGTAGAGCGTGAAGAAGAAACCACCTCTAGACTACTAATTCATACACGACACCTCCACCTCCTCCTCAAGCTGTGAAGGCACTCCTGTCCTAACCTCCGCCGCAGGAAACCCAACCCGCCAAGTCCATCAAACCGCCAGCACCCGGCCCCCTACTCGTAGACTCACTAGTCGCCGACATGGCCGGGCGCACGCACATTATCTGCTACTGTACTCGAGTGCAGTACTCGGGCACAATACAAATACCTTCTCGACGGCCCCCGTGTGCAGGCACGCCAATGGGATACACATTCCATGGCCCCCTGCGTTAATCCGCCAGGTTCGGCCACAACGACGCGGTCGAGCCGCTCCTGCCCGGCTCCAAGTGTGAATCCTGCCAATTTGGGAAATTCTGGCGGCGCCGAGTATAGCACTTGTAGCCGGGCACGAGAACGCGACACACCGGCACGTGCTGTACGCCGCGCGCACACGGAGATGGTGGAGAGCGCTGGCAGTCATTCACTTGTTGACTCGTGTCTGCAAAGTATGGGGTTCCCGGATGGCGGGTGGTAGCGGAAGGCTGGTTCGAGGTTGGGAGGGTTGGATTACCGTGCTCGGGTACAGTATCCCGTGGGCGTTAGAGCGCTAAAGAACGGAATGTAGATTTATTTCCATCATGGCTATGGAAAGGATACTTTTTCCGGATCCCGTTATTCTCTTGACCAGACAGACTTCTTGGGTGCACGCGACTGACCGTGGGATACTGTTTCTTGCTTCTAACCATGCTTATATATAGGACGATCTCGGAGGACATATCATATCCAATCTGCCCTAACCCGAGTACGGTAACACTGCAATGCCAATTGCACCAATTCTTAACCCCTCCGGCCAGTTTCCGCCAATATCGAGATCGACAGCTGCCAGCGAGAAGGTACAGGTATCATCCCATTAGATCCTGGGAGCACTCAAAACACAACATCCCCCTCACAAAACGGTAAATATCTCCCTATAAACTCCGTACCTTGGATCATATCATCCCTTGAAGTAATATCCTGAATCCACGACCCTAGCCAAACACCGCAAGGTTGTCAAAGCCTACTGGGTCGCCCACGCCACTATAGGATACAGCAATTCAGCAAAAGCCTTTGTGAAACGGGACTTCTCTTTGCCCATGGAACCCTCCCCCCCCCTACTACCGGCGTAACCTCCCCCAGGAGAAACTCGGTTTGACGAAGACTCTTTGCCGAGTTACCGTATTCGCAGTCGAGCACACCTCAATATCCCCACCGGTATAATACAGGAACCATGGAGTAGACCTCCCCAACCGCCATTGCCACTTCAACCACCCCACAGGACCAGACTCCCGTTACGAGTTCGAATCAGATGCCCTGGAGCAAAGCCACAGACCTCAATGATATCCAAGGGCCCGGCATGCCTGCAGCAGTCGCGCGGGGACAAAGCGATTCCACGGATTGAATCGAATTCGTATCATATCGCCGTGATGCTGTGGCCATGCGGAAGGAAATGCCAGCAGCTTCGATTGTGGCGTAAGAGCGATACCCACTCCCCAACCCGCCAATATACCAGTAGCCCGATATGCCATATGGCCCCTACTGTGCCTCGTGGCAAGGTGCGATAGCGAGCAAAAGCGGGCTTCCGGGTCGGGGCCCCATCGCCGCTAGCTTGAGTACGCTACGTACAGTCTAGCCTGGTACAAGTAACGCAAAATCACCCACGACAACCAACATTCAATGCTACCGTGCGTGATTGTGCACCGCACACACGGTAACTCTTAATTCCCATTCCGCTTTTCGTATCGGTAACCCTGCAGGCTAGTAGGGAGCACCAGAGCTAAAGCGTGATAGGTGCTTTTTCCTTCCCCTTAAAAAGAAAAGGAGAGTTAAAAAGATGCGGAATTAGTCCACCGCATCCCATTAATGAGTCCCGCCAGCTTCTTGGATTCCTCCCTCGATTGCGGTTTTGTGCTTATTTGTTCGGGCTGTCTGTCGTACTGCCGGTAGATACTATTTCACACGTTGCTGGCCATCCGCTATGCCCTGGGACGTCTAGCCTTCCAAAGTGGTGATTTTCGGCTCTTTGACTCCTTGTGCGTACCGTGCATCTGTCGGCGGGGGCGCCTTCTCGATGGCCTGTATTATAGAAGCTGTTTGCGTAGCTTCTGAGGGCTCAAGGCGGTTTCTCTCAATTTTGTCCGCAGGGTTAAATCGTGACAGGTGATCATATCGAGTGATATTATGTGATGGTCAGGGTTTATGCCTGGTGCAAGTTTCGGTATGGACGGTGGGGTTGCGATCTTGTCGTCTTGGGGGGGGGGGGGGCACGAATTATGTCACCGGGACCGTGTTTTAGTAATGGCGGGTGGATGAATTCTTTACGTAGGCGATTGATTGGGTTTCGTAGTGGGAATGGAAGAGACTGATCCAAAATATTATATTTACCAATTAACTCCAGGTTGGCAGATCATAATACTAGCTAATGTGATACAGGAGAAACTATGAAGTGGTGAGGAAAGAACAGAAACATAAAGTCATTGCCATATCACAACGAATTTCTAACCCCCCCCTCCCGCCATCCGAACGCCCACAAACAAATTGATTCGAATAGAATGCACAAGCAACACCACCCAAACCCTCCAATCAGGCATGCACAGAGAGGACGGGGAGCGTCCTACTGTTCCACAATCTTCCAATCGACCTTCGCCCCCTTGCCCTTCAGCAATTTGACAATGTCCACATGCTCGTAATACTCGGCCCAGTATAGCGCCGTCTGCCCTCCAAACCCCTTGGGATGTACGTCGGCGCCCGCATTCAACAATTCCCTTACGATAGCGGTGTAACCCATGTACGCCGCAAACTGCAGCGGCGTCTCGCGGTTGAAGTCGGGGACATTGATGATGTCCCTCTGCATCTCCAGCACCCGCTGCAGGCTCGTAATGTCATTGTACTGCACGGCCTTGTGTAGTATCGTCGCGCCGCTCCCGCTCTGCACACCGAGGGTGGCGGGGTCGGCCTTATCGAGTAGCAGCGGGATCACCTTTCCGCAGTGTGGGCCGTCGTAGACGCGATGCAGGGGCGTTTCGCCGAATATGTTCTGCGCGGATAGAGGAGCGCCGTGGGAGAGGAGGAGGGAGATTAAGGGTAGGAGCGAGGCGTGCGGGGTCGGTGGACCACTGCTGACTAGGTCGTGTAGCGGGGTGTTTCCGAAGGAGTTCCTTGCTTTCAGGCAGGCGCCATGCTCCACTAATAGTTTTATCATTGTTGGAGAGGGAACCTTCGAGCAGATCGCGGCTTGCAGCGGGGTTAGCTTGTTTTCGGACTTTTTGTTTGGCCCGCTGCGAACGTTGACGTCCGCACCCATATCCAGAAGGAGACGGGCAAGGTGTTCATGACCCTCGTGAGCTGCCCAATAGAGAGGTGCTAGACCGTCTTTGTCTAGCAATGCTAGCTTGTGCAGGAGGGGGGTTAGCAGGATTGAGAGGGCACGGTTACAGCGGAGTAGGCTGTTTAGGTCACTTAAACCTAAGTTTGAGGCTATTTGGATTAGGAGCTCGTTCGGTAGTTTGAGTAATTGCATTGTCGGAGGTCGAGTTTGAGGTATCGAGCGTTCTGGAAGCACTTCGGAAGTAGAGTCGAGAGGGGTTGAGAGGTATTGACGGGGCTGAATTGTCGGGGTACCCACTGGTTATCGTTACTGAAGATCGGGGTGTGAGCGGTGACCGTGACACGACGCCAAGTGATTGTTTTTAGCCCTGCTTAGTTTTGAGTGACTGCTAGGGAACGGTGCCACTTGTCACGCTCATAGACTAGCTTTTAAAGATGGAAGGGGCAGCTTAGCATAGAATCTTCCCCTCATCCCTCTCCTCTCTAGTAATCTCCCGTTCGACCTCCTCCTTTCATCCTGTGCGTGGTCGATGGTTCCTCCGTCTTCACTCACTCGTATGGAACACGATCTATAAGTTACGGACCGGGATCACGGTTTCTCACCCATGTAACGGTTTAATCATGAAAACCACGTGACTTGGCGCTATTTACGTTTTGAGTCTTACAGTTTCATACTGGAGTCCTACTAGGGTCATCCGCCAAGATACAGTACGTGTACCGGTAGCAGCAGAGCCTCACGGTCAGAATCTCAGGGGAAAGAGAACAGCAGCACCGCCACCTACTGGTATCATACCGGTACCTGCACGGTAAGGGCACAGCGGATTGAGTTAATTCAATGGCAAGGTTCCTCAACCCCCCCTTACACCGCAGGAGTACTCAACAGATGCATCACCTCGCTGATCCCTGAAGTAATATCCCGAACGAAGGAACGACTGACTTCAACACCTGCTTCGTTCATCCATCAATCCCCACAAAACAAAACAAATAACGACAAGGACAAGCCGTACTGTACCGACAATGGGCTACTCAACAGTCGACAAACTCTACCTGGCGTTCTTCGCCATGTTCATCCCGGCAATGGCCTTCGTGGATCTCATCCCTATCTGGCCACGCGCGATTGTCCCAGCGCCCCTGTGGGCTCTCCATGAATTCTACCTGGACAACTTCAACGATCAACTGGTGATCAAGTTCCCCACGTGGTTCAGCGTGTTCATCTTCTTCGAGGCGTGCTATAACTTGCCAGTGGCCATCTGGATTTTCCTGGGGATTCGTCGTGGTTTGTTCCCTTTACGGGAGAGCGGCGGGGAGGGGGAGAGAGAGTCTTACTAATGAATTGAATTTTATTGTAGGGGACTCGAGCTCCTGGGTTCACATGTGCATGTTCGGTGCTCTGTGCACGCTTAGCACTGTTGTTTGCATTGCGGAGATACGACAGGATCCCGACATAACTGCTTTGGAGCAGAAGATGCTGATGTTATGTTATGTGCCCTTCGCTATTATCTGTGAGTGTCTTTAGGATTCCATGGCGGGAGTTGAAGTGGTGCTCGAGTAGCAGCTAAGTATGGCTTGCTTGGTCTAGTCCCAACTATGGCGGTTCACAATATGATTAGGATACAGGACAGACTTGCTCTTGCGGATAGGGCTGCGATTGGGAAGAAGGGCAATTAGGTAGAGACTGTTATGATGGAGGCCGGGATTAACTGGGTCAGCGCAAAGTGGACTGCAATTTATATTACCAGTACTCGTGCTCGAGTATGGCGGGATTCGGAGGCGTCGAAGGCGTACCCCGAGAAAAAGAAACAAAAGCTTGGCTACATTGCTGACAGTTGTGGTATCATGTCCGGAATCAATTGCGATAGTTTTGAAACCACCTTGAATTTAACTCTGAACCTTTTAGAGCCTTCCATTGTTCACAAATCCCATATGAAATTTGACACCTCTACAAATATATCATACAACCGCTAATTGCTCAGTTTATTAAATCAATCCTGTACCTTTACTGCCGTGCAAGAAAAAATAATAGTAACAATCCTATTCAAAGAGCCGTAGAAGTCGTGACAATAGAACAAGCTGCAGCGATTTGTGAATTAGCACCTGTGACGAGTTAGCTGTCTGAATTCTTGGGAGGACAAGATTTCAGAAGAAACATTTTATAATTGCAACTGCCAGTACTTGCGCGAGAAGAATCTGCAGTCTGTAATTGATAGTCAATTTTGATGTCCAGATCTCTCCTATTCTTTTCCGTAGGCTTCGAGCTGATCCTGCCGGTGATGACTTCACCCCTATTGACTCTCAGGACTTCGTGGAGGTAGAAGACAGTCTGTTTCCAGTGGGTGTATTTCGCATGGGGTCCTGTGGAAAATTTAATCGGCTTGTGGCACGCCGAAAACTCAATATCAAACCAGGCGATGAATGCGTGCGCAAAGTCATTCCGATTGAAAGGGAGTTCGAAGGCCGTGTTAAATGCGAGCTCGGGCGCCGTGACGGTATATAAGTCGATAGAGAAGACTTGGCAGGGATCTGTAACCACAGCTTTCATCTCCACGGTGTCGACTAGAGGTTCCGCCAGGGCGGTTCTCTGAAGGGGTGTAAAGTCAAATCCGTAGACGTTGCTCCAATCTAATACCGGCAATTAGTCACATAATAGTGGAATGATTGGGCAAAGCTCACAGCCAATCTTCTCTTCTTTATAGTCTCCGTCTTCAATAGCAGCCATGTAGATATGAGCCTTGTCCGGAAACATCAACCCTCCGGGGGCAAGATATTTGTCTCGAGCAAGAAGAACTGTATCTAGCATGCTTTCGTACAGTAGGAAGTAACCCATCCACTCAGATATGATGATATCGACTTTTTCAACGGGAAGTACGACTTCCTCCATCTTTCCTTGCAGAAGAGTAATCTGGTCGCTCATTCCGTTGATCTTAACAATTTCGCTTGCTTTTTCAATGATGGTTGACATGTCAACGCCGATGACATGTTTGGCACCAGCTTTGACAGCGAACCTGCATCCAAATAGCCCATATTAACACCACTTCCCCAACAGAAGGACTAATAAACAAAGGACAATCCGAAGGCGTAGCTCAGAGGTTAATTCTCAACAGTGTATTTATGACAGGGATAACTGTAGAAAAAAAGGGTTTCTCATCCTTGCGAGAGGGAAATTGTCCTCTATACCAAAGTAGAGAGGGAGTAGAATATCGGGTCTTACATGCTAAGAATGGATGTTCCACATCCAACATCCAGAACAACCTTGTCCTTGAATAGGTGCGCATTCTGATAAATGGCGTTCTTGTAGGCATTGGTTCTCACCTCGTCTTTCTGGCGGAAGGTACGACATGAGCTAATCTTTCCAGAGGTAAAAGACTGGGCAAGCGGGGGGTTATCACGAACCAACATCTCCTCGTGGATGCCTAGTTGTGAAAACAGTTCGCGTCAGTTTCGGGGGTTAAAACTGGTATCGTTTCCGCCTCTCCCTCGAGTGAATAATTGTGAACTAACCGTGATGATTGTAGCTTTCCAGAAGACCAGATATTAGTGAAATAATTCACAGCTAGAATTTTGCGTGATAGGAATTGTCAAATGCGGGTTATAGATTTACCTCTGGAAGTAGTGCTCTTCAGCTTGCTCGAGACGCCTTTCCGCCATTCCGGCCGTTGAGAAAGCGCGCTGCAGGAGAGGAGGAGGCAATTGCGGAAGTCTTAGCCGCAAGGAGAATCTAATAGCGATGGTGAAGGCGAGCGGGGGAGGGGGGGGGAGGGGAGTGAAGAGATTAGAGAAGGGGGGGAAGGGGAAGAGGAAGAGAGAGATAGAGAGAGAGGGAGGTTGATGTTTGCAGTGGGGAGGGGTTGGCGGGACGTTGTAAAACGGACCAGCAGTATTATTTTTTTTAAGAGGCCGAATTTTCCCTTGCTCCATACGTTACCTCAGTGCAAACCCTGAGTGCCAAGGGTTGAGTCCCTCAATCCCAACTGAAGAACCTCCGTTCTCCGGACCCCCCCAGTCCGGGACACCCTACTTTTCTCCAGCACCCATCCTTCTCTGCCATCCCGCAATACCAGTATTAAGGATCAAACTTGTTATTACTACTGGGCGATTTTTGAAATGGAAGCCGAAATGATTGACATACCCCCCCAACCCAAGAAACTGCAAAAGTCTTCTCAGCCTCTACAGCGGATAACGATAAAGAGCCCGGAATATAGCTATTCCCGTCTGGAAATGTCTGATGTCCCTTCTCACCATCCAACCGCTTCCTCTTTGGATTAACTGGAAATCTAGGATTTTCGACCCCCCATTTGACACTGCTAGTGCGGTTGATGCAATCACCTGGCGTACGGCCCTTACAAACAGCTTGATGCAATACTTGGGCGTGGTTGGATCCGCTATCCGCATTGACATATTACATATCGAGGGCGAGGAGGCTGTATTGAGGCTTCCAACTACTGATATAGTCAAGTTTGGTGCAGCTGTGAGTGGATTTGTTGGTACCAGCGATGGGCGGAGCATTGGATTCAAGACTTTGGGAAATTCTGCATTCTTAATGGGACTGATAGGAAGGGCGAGGGAGGAAGATATATGGGACGGGTTCGGTAGTTGAGGTTGTTTCGGTGTAAGTAATCCATTCTCAATATCGATCATTGGCTAAATAAGAATAAGAAAAAAAATAGCATGAAGAATACACAAGACGCTACGAATATAAACGAAAAGAATCCCATGATCCTCATTTTATTCCAATCAACTCCAGATCCCGGGAGAAACGCGCAATCAGGCTTGTCCGTTACTGCCATCTTTCGCTCTTAATCCATTAACGATGTCCTTAACAATGGCATCGGTGTATTTGCGCACAGAGTTTTCAATAACATTCACAGCATGCGATTCTTCGCCGAAAATGGACTTGACCATCTCTCCGCCTCTAACCGCAAGCACTGATAGAAGCGTGTCGCTCAACTGTTCCTCTTGGGTTAGCTTGTCATACCTACTTGAAAGTGGGACTGTTCATGCTTACCCCATGTGTGTTCTCACAACAACCTTGCAACCATACACCAGAATTTTTCGCGATCGCGCCTTCCTTGAACTGGACACGATAGTCTCTGCTCACCTGGCAACTCTTTCCTTCCAGCAATCCTCTTGCAGGTTTCAGTAAGGTCTCGTGAACATTTCTAACATATCCCGTCGCGATAATTATCGCATCAAATCCTGCTGTAGTCTCCACCATACCGGTCCTGGTATTCTTTAACTGGAGATAGATTTCACCAAGTTTGTTTTCTTCTACTCCAGCGACTTCCCGCAGGGGTATAATGCGGTGTTGCCATTCTGCCTCGCTTGGATTCTGCAATCTTTGGTGGTAGAGCGTCTCATACAGATGCTCGATAAGCTCGAGGCGGACGACACCGTAGTTTGTGGCGCGATCTTGAACTATGGATTCTTTACGAACCTCTGCTGGCATCGAATATACCGAATCGACGCGAGATGGATCAAAGATCTCATTGACACTGGAGCGTCGGGAATCAGTACGAATCTGGCAAACGGGAGTGGGGGTAGGTCTCACAAAGGACTATCATCGCTTGGTCTTAGTGCTGATCCCTTGATAATCAGGCTGGTCTTGGAGTTGGGATATCTGGAGTGCATGTCGTTAAAGATTTCAGCGGCGCTCTGGCCACCACCCACGATAGCAATCTTATACGCTTTATTCTTGTCATTCAAAAGTTTTGGAACGGCGGACGAATATCCAGATGAGTGGATGATGCGCGGACCCAGGGGGTTTTGTGGAAATGCTTTGGGGATATTGGGTTTCCCTCCCACTGCAACTACCACATGTCGCGCAGCTAGCCTCTTCTCTTGGCCGCTTTTGATATCTCTCGACGTTACCGCCCAGTTTTGAATCGGCTTCTCGCCAATGGGTGCAACCGAAACAACATCTTGGCTGTACTTTACGCAATCCTCGAAATGTGAGGCGCACCAGGCCATGTAATCGTTGTACTCCTCTCTCAACGGCAAGAAGGTGCCAAGGTTGGTGAAGGCTACTAGTCTGTTTTTCTCGCGAAGATAATTCAGGAAAGTGAATTTCGATCGAGGATTCCTTAAGGTTGCAAGGTCCTTGATGAATGAAATCTGCATTCGGGAGCCAGGAAGAATCATTCCTGAATGCCATGCGAATTCCGGTTGACGCTCAAGGAACAGTGCTCTGGCCTGGGTTTTTTGGTCATGAAGGGCTATGGCTATGGCTAGAGAGGCTGGACCGAAGCCAATGCATATCAAATCGTAGGGCTCTTGGTTGTGGCTGCCCATCTTTGGGGAAGATGTTTTTCCGTCGCTGTATGTCAAATAGCCGTTCCTGTGGGCACCGTTTATGCCGTTTGAGGTGGAATGGCCGTTGGAGATACTATCGGTGAAACTAGTGTTCCCATTACTATGGCATCCATTGCCATTACCATGGGCTCCGTTCATATGATGTTCGCTCCCGTACCCGTTCATGATATCGGCCATGATAGGTTTGCGTTTATCGGAACGCAAAAGAAAGGAGGAGAATAACGAATTCAGTGTGGATTCGGTCGACGAGAGAAGGAACCTATTGTTGGTTTAATACGTCAGTCAGCTTAACCTTCCTCGTTGCAAACACATCTGACCAATCAGAGTGAAGGTGTTTCGAATGACCCATCATCGCCCTCAAACCGACATTTATTTTTTCTTCCCCTCGTGTTTGCTAGGAAAAAAGAAAAAAAGGGGCGGAGCTTCGGAAGTGCTGGATCATATTTTCTATTATTACCTTTTCAGACCTTCTGGACTATTGTGAAATCTTGGGGACAAGTGATAAATGCAAGTTGATAGAAAGAAGGGGGTGTGGATGTGATGTAACGGTTTGTTTTCTCTGTGATGACGATTATGTTGATATTGATGCTACCGGCACAGCGAGCGGAACAGCAAAATGTCCCCCCTAACCGGTTTGTTATATTATCTGGGACGTACGGAGTGGAGGTGAAATAGAACTAGTCGATATGATATGGCCCTTCTTCCTACACCCTGCTCAGTTATAAACACACCTTAGCATCTCATCGCTTTTTTGTTTTTGCTTTTTCGAAGAAGTGGCAATTTGGAAATGTCTATTACCGTGTGAATTGGTGATTTTGTGTACCGTGTATACAGTACACCAACGTCGACAGCCTTGGAGGGAATGAGGGAAGGAAGGTGAAAAGAAGGTGCCGAGCCTCTGCGTTAATGACGCAGAATGCTGCAGCAGTGAGGAACACAAGGTAGAGAGTCTGATAGTAAGAAAAAAAGCTCCAATCTGATAAAGGAAGACAGGCAAGCAAGCGAGGAGGCAAGCAGGGGGTAGCCCGGGTGTGATACAAGAGCAATGCTCGTACTGGTACAGTACTATAGAGTGTGGAACCGTGATAACAAACCACCAGGCATGGATGGAGGTCTAAAGATACTTAAGTACCATTTATTCCGAATGTCGAGAAGAGTAGCCTCATCTATAGATCAGTACTCGCTACAGTTCCCACATCACCTCCCTCGAGGCCGGAGAGAAAAAAAAAAGAGAGGAAAAAAGGGTACGGCGATGTAGTACCGTACCTGCAAACATACTGTACCTAATTGCCTACCATCCATCTACCAATCCGGGCACATACATCCATCACACTACGAATCACTTGATACACTCCCCCATCAAACAAAACCGAGGGGAAAAGAAAGGAAAAAGACCCGTACCATCGTACCATGCTCATCATACCGCACCGACCTCCCTATGCTTTCCCCGCAAGAGAGTGAGAAAAAATAAAAATTACACAAACAATCATACCATTTCCCCCCTTCCCAATCCAAAACCGATTCCAAGCTCGCCGCATTCACCCCTGGCAATGTCGTCCCCGCGAAAGAAGGAAGGGGGAGAAAGGAAATGGGAAAAAAAAAAAAAAAAACGTAAGGGTGATAATCGAAGCAAAAAGTAGGAAATGATAATTAGATTATCGTAATCAGATCGCGAGATTGCAGTCAATATTGACCCCGGCACCTCGGCGTTACCGAGGGGGATGGGGGGAGAAGGGAGCGATGCCGCGCAACAAAACACCCCACTCGAAGCGAGGAGAGGAAAGTGGGACAAGGATCAGATAAAGTGGGATAATTATCTTGATGATATAATAGTGGTGGCTGGGGTTGTCTGTGCGTTGTTCACGGGGGGTCAGAGTGGGTCATCCATTGTGACCGAGGGGTAGGGAGGTGGGGAACTGATCGGATCGGATAAGATTGTGGGCTGTGATGCGGTAGGTAAGGTTATGGAAAGTTGGATAGTCTACATCATGCTATATCATACTGAGCAGCGGCTCGGCTGGAGGGGAAGGGTTGTTGGTGAGTGGGTTAGCGGGCGGGGAGGACGCGGTGGTAGACTAACTGGTATACCGGTAGTTGGACGGAGTGTAGAGGGGTGGTGGATCTGATAAAATTTTTCTCTCTCTCTCCTATCTCATCGGATGGAGGGTGCCGGGAGTCTTTTTTTTTAATTTTTTTTTAATTTTTTTTAATTTTTTAGGAAAAACATACATACGGTAGGTTGTGATACCGTGCAATACCGGTATTGGCACAGTAGCGCGCAATTGTACTCGTACTCGTACACCTGGTTATTCTCACCTAACCTACCGTACTCCCCACCAACCTCCCGCCATCCCCCCTCCCCACCACATTCGAGGTGGCATCATATGAAAATATTTTCATCCCTTTCTTTGTTCCCTTCACCGATCGTCTGGGTCCTTCCCACCCCTACCCGACCTTTGTTTGCCACCTTTGCACGCACCCGGGCGTCTTGGTACATTTACGCAGGCGTTCAACTACTGGACGAGTGATCGTTCGTGAAGTGGTATATGCCAGTCGCCTGATGGTCGGCGATGCAGAGACGGCAGGTGGACGGGCTGGTGGGGGGATATGGTACCTAGCGGATCCACACCGGGGATATTCGCTTGGGGGGGAATTGAGCGAATTATCACGCTTACCTCCGCGGAGTGCCCGGGATTTGCAGCAGATGTGGTTTCCTGTTTACTGGCTTTTGAACTTGAGACTGGAGGGGGGGGCTTTCGGTTCGGGGCCATACTGCAAAAACTAACCCTCTGTTTTTTTGTCTTGTTTCTGGGGCACGCTTCATGTTTGACGTATCCACGAGCTAGTCTTTCTCTGTTTTTATGCTAGCTATGATAATATTAAAGTATTTTCTCACATTTAAATCCCGAGATTGTAACTTTTAAATAAATATTCGTTATATTCACTACAAACGTTTTTTCATAAATTCTAAACTATGATACCTCAGTTAACCTTTTTCTTTTATTCCGGGGCGGGCTGGGCGGGTATTAACTGTCAATCGAAGATATTTTTATTTTTATTCCCAGTCTCACTCCAGGCTCTGCTGTCTGGACATGGCAGCGTAAATCCCATCTTTGGCGACCAGCTCGTCGTGCCTGCCTTGCTCAACGATCTTTCCTTTCTCAAAGACGTAGATGCAGTCTGCCATCTGGATACTGGCCAGGCGGTGCGCAACTGCGATACAGGTTCTGCCTCGGCTCGCTGATGCCACGGCTTCCTGGATGAGCCTCTCTGAGAGTGAGTCGAGGGCTGAGGTAGCCTCGTCAAGTAGGAGGATGGCCGGATCGCGCATGAGTGCTCTGGCGAGCGAAACACGCTGCTTCTGCCCTCCGGAGAGTTGAGAACCGTTGGAGCCACAATCACTAGGAAGCCGTTAATGGCGAGCAAATTGGGGATGAGGGGTGCGGGGTATATTCACGTTTCGTATCCTTCAGGGAGGCTCATGATAAAATCGTGTAGCCCACACATCTTACAAGCCCTCTCAACGTCTTCTCTGGAAACCTCTTTGCCGGGACCTGCTCCAAGACTGACGTTGAAATGGATGCTGCCGGGAAACAGGCAAGGCTCTTGGGAGACCAGGGATATTCGGCTCCTGTGGTCACGCACTGGAATAGCCCTAATATCCACATCATCGACGAGAATGCTCCCAGAACTGACGTCGTAGAAGCGCTCCAGTAGGGCGACGGCACTCGACTTTCCAGCGCCAGAATACCCCACAAAGGCAACAAACTGGCCTGGTCGGATAATGCAAGATATGCCATCCAGCGCAGGAACATCCGGACGAGCGGCGTATCTGAATTGAACACCTCGGAACTCAACCTTGCTTCCATTGCATGCTCTCAGGCCACCCGTGACTGACCTCTCGCGGAAGGGTGGCTGTAAATCGGTGTCTATGGTAGGTTTCTGGTCGTGAATCCTGAAAACGCTTAAGGCAGCACTCCTTGCCCGGGTTACCTCCGGCGCTAGTGAGAACATTTGCCCCGAGGCCTGTGCAGAAAACAGGAGAGCTGGCAGAACGATGAAGAAGTCCACTTGGGTGTAGTTGCCATCCCTGACTTTTCGGGAGCCCCAATAGTATGCAAGAGCATAAACAAAGTATGTGATCGCCAATGCGAAGGCCAGCCAGAAATTTCCTGTCACAATGAAGCGTAGACTTTCACGGTATGGCTTATCTACGGCCTCACTGTAGAGTCGGGTGACATCGTTCTCTCTTCCAAGAGCTGCGACTGTTTTGATAGCTGTGCACGCCTCAGCCGCCAACGCTGCAGCTTCAACGTAGGCTGTTTCATGTCTTTGTTGAAACTTTGCTAGAACACGCAATCTAAGGAAGCCAGAAACCAACATTATCGGGACAGCTGTAAGGAGGACGATTGCTATCTTCCAGGCAACGACATGGGCCAAGATAACTCCGCCAACCATTGATGTCGTGACTGAAAAGATTGTCCCAAGAATAACACCAGATAGACCACTGAGGTGGCCGGTATCCATATTGAGCGTAGACACTAATGCTGCTGGTGAGTGAGAGGGTTCCTGGAACCATGCCATATCTTGCCGTAAGATATTCTTCAACGAAATATCCCGAATACGTCTGATAAGCCTCTCGGAGACGATACCAAAGGCCGACCCGCTCGCGGTGTAAGCGGCCAATGCAATTAATGCGAGGACGAAAAAGATTAAGGAGAGAGAGTTGGCGCGGCTTTTGAGCTCAGCGGAGCTTCTCTGGTTGTTAAGTGTTGAAATTAGATTCCCAAAGATGATTGCTTCGCCCAAGATAATGCCCCCGGTGATCACGGAGGCTACAAGCCCAATGACAATGATCGGAGCATCTGGTTTGCTGAGGGATAAGCACCGCCGAATGAGAGCGCTGGAGGATAGAGTCTGGGACTCTTCCATTGATAAAGTCTCGAGCCATTGCCCCTGTTCCTCGTTTTTTTCGTCCACTCTCTCTATGGGTCTGGCGTCATCGTCAACCTTTGTCTTGCCAGAGGAAAGACTGCTTGCGCTAGAATTTGCTCCCAACAGCCTTTGTGACTTGACTAGTGCACGATAGGCACCACGAACCTCGAGTAAACCTTCGTGAGTGCCTTCTTCAACCACCTGGCCATTTTGTATGACGACAATCTTGTCTGCACGGCGCACGGTAGCTAACCGATGGGCAATCATGATCGTCGTTCTACCCTTCTTGTTCTTAGCTTCATCAAGAGCGTCGAGAACGGATGCTTCGCTCTGGGAATCCAGTGCACTCGTGGGTTCGTCTAGTAACAAGATGCTTGGATCACTGACGAGCGCTCTGGCTATTGATATCCGTTGCCTTTGGCCGCCGGATAACTGTGTGGCACTAGCTCCACCGAGCTTGGTGTTGAAACCATCCGGAAGACTCGCGATAAAATCGTAGGCGTTGGCGGCTCTGGCGGCTTGATAGCATAACTCAATTGCTTCGCTCTCGCTCAACCCCTCCTTGTGCAATAAACCGTGGCGGATATTTTCCATTATGGTTCCTGAAAATAGCACAGGTTCCTGATCCACTAAGGAAACGTGTCTCCGATAGTCTCGGATGTTGAGCTCTCGCAAATCATGGTCGCCAAGCTTAACCCTCCCGGAAGCGGGGTCATAGAAGCGCATTAGCATCGCGGCAATAGTGCTTTTCCCACTCCCTGAAGGCCCCACAATCGCTGTGACCTTGCCAGCTTCAAATGTGAGATTGATGTTCTCAACGACCTTGACGGTAGCACGAGTCGGGTATATGAAAGTGACATTGTCGAGAACAATATCGTTTCGCTCCACGGGCTCGGGCATACATAGCCCCTGGGTTGAGTACACGTTGATGACTGGGTCAGGGCGGTCAAGCATTGAGATGATCTTCTCACCAGCTGCAGCGGCTAGCGCGAAGGTCTGCAGGAAAGGGCCGAAGGAGCCAATAACGAATGATGCATCAAGGATTAGGAATACTACAGTATACACAGTTCCCGCACCTTCATTCTTTCTGAACAAGCCCTCGGCGATTTGCTGAGAGCCCTGCCAGAAAGCAAGAGCATTGGCTGAATAGCTATCTTCAGTTATCAGATCGGGGGTTTCTCGGGGTTAGGGTTTGGTTAACATACGCAACGAAATAAACAAGCCCCAACATTAGTGCTCCCGCAAAGGCCTTTTTGGCTCCTTTCACGATGGCAGGCCGCATAAACCTCAGCTGCTCACCGGCCAGTTTATCCAGCGCATCGAATGCTTGAACCACCTGCACTGCTGTTATGGCACCTTCCGCTACGGATGTTGCCTTTTCTGAATATTCGGTTGCCTCTACGGCATACTTGGAGACTACTTTAGAGCCAAAGGTAATGACAACAAACATAGCAGGGACCACTGCGGCAAATAGTATTCCAGTTAGGCGGGCATTCAGGACGAACCCAGCAGTGAATGCAGCGATGAAATAAGCTATAGATTGAAGAAACAGGCCGGCTTTTTCGGAGGTGCCTAACTGGATTGTTTGAGTGTCTGCTGTTAATCGGTTTGCGATCTGATAAGATCAGCAATGATAGTAGTGCGGGAAACCTTATCGGGGAACATACATCTGGGCACTCGATCTCAAAGTATGCAATGTCCATTCCCACTGCTTTTTTCAGTAAATCCTCCCTCAGACCTCGTGAAACCCTTTCTCCAACAATACCCCAACAAATCGCCCACCCCCAAGTGGTGAAGAAGTACGCAATAGCAACTCCTAGCAGCTCCCCGATTCGGGTCCGCAATTCATCTTCGGTCGGCGGGAAATTGTTTATAATCTTTCCAAAGATGACACCAATAATCGGTAGCGGAGCTCCCGCTGCTAAGGATAATATGATTGCTAATGCGAGGATGGTTCGTTGACGCCATGTGTTGAGAGGTCGGTATAACGAAAAATAGGAAGTCTTAAACTTGGAACCTAGAAACCGCTCAAGAACTGGAACCGCTGGAGGCCTAGGATCAAGGGCTGTACTTGGGTTGGCTGTAGAATCCGGGCTTAGGGGGGCAATGTCAATTGAGTGATGTGAACGGCGTCGTGACAAAGGTCGGTTTGCGTCGGGAAGGGACACCATTATGCCTTGCCCTCAGCTAAATTGTTTGGGAAAGAAGCTGCTCAAGTGCCTGTTTCTATAAAATCCGCGCTCGCCAGATACTTGGAACTTCGAGTGAATAGCCCAACGGTGGGTGATGGTGGAAGCTCGGGGGACCCTGAAAATCCAAGTACTCGTGGAGGTACTGAAGCCGGGGTATCAACTCGAGAAGCCGGATAAGATCAGGAAGAAACAGATGGAAAGAAGTGGGAAAAAGAAATAAAAAAAGCAATGCGATTCAGCGCGAAGAGGGGTTGGGAAGAGCCCCTAGATTAGAAACTGCGAGAAGTATGAGTGGGGAATATGATCGTGGAAGCTGAGGTTCTATAGAGTCTGGAACAAGTGGGGGACAGACTGGTGGGGTGCAGATTGATCCCTCATGACCCACACAAATGGGAAAATTAGCTCTCGGGAGTTGAAGTGGGTCCGTTAGTGATTGAATGGCAATAGTTTTCACACCGCGAGGGCATCTGCTGCGTTAGCAATGAAAGGGATAATGTTTGCCCCCTATTACTGAACTTAGGGGCCATGATAGCCGAGACCTAGCCAGTGTTATGGCGGTGGTAAAGATTAAAATCATGTGCATGCATGGTGAGGCAAGAGGCGCTGGTGATCAAGCCGTTTTCCCCTTTCCGTCGCGCCGATATTTTCGCCCGATGTCTTCAGAGCGGGGCCGAGAGAAACTGTACTGTACTATCACAGCTCCAATACTCAGATTGCAAGTGGAAATCACTTCTGGTAAGTGGAGCGGATCTAAGCATTATCTGATGATCTGGATGTGATAAAATTTTGTCCTGCATGATGTAGGACATGACCTCTCAGGATCCAGCTCCAATTGGGACCGGAGACTTTGGGATATGGTAGGTGTAACCGCATGTTTCTTAACCTCTACCGAGAAGGAGAGGAGAAAGATTAACTGCGACATGGGGCAGCGAGGGAGATCCACCATTGTTGCACCCTTGTAAAATAAACTCTGCGAGAAGTAGGGATGGGAGGGTGTGGGGAGGGATGCATTGGCCGTAGATTCAATCAGGTCACCCTTCAGGACCTCGGGTAGACAGGAGAAAGGGATAAGAAAAAGAACACTACAGTACAAGTACACTGTGTACTGTACCTTGATCCTGGAATTCCTCAAGGCCTCAGCGGGGGGGGGGGTGAATAGTTGCGTGATTTTGCTACTGGATTTGACATTGGGATATCGGGGCTCTGCTCGAGAGCCATCTCTTGAATTGGAGACCGCATGGTAGTATCATTTTAACTCTTCTTGGGGGTGTCGATCTCGTATGATGTGATATAGATGCACATTGCAAGAGCCCATAAGGCTTCTAGTGACGAAGACTAAACACTCCCACCCGGTCGGTTACGATACTCAAGCACTGCACTCTGCCAAAGAGGTGTTTTCTGTTGGGCTAGAGCTTGTGTTTTGGGAACTATCATCCAAGGTAAAGCCGAGACACCCGCCAGTAGGGGGGCCGCGGGGATGCGGTCCTTCAGGCGTAAGAATACGGTACCCAATGGCGATGTCAAATGGGGCTGTCTACTAGCCGGGAGAACCGCAAAGTCCATCGAATGAATCCAGCTTCCTTTAAAAGCTAGGTTCAACTTTGCCACTTGTCCGTGGGGTGTTCATACTCGAGTACTTGCTACCGCTATTCCTTGTTTGGGCCCGAAGTTGTTTGCCGGACCGAAACCCTATCCTACGGATGCGGTGCAAGCATCGGGGAAGGATGAAAGAAATGAAAGAAGGGGAAAAAGTGCCTCAAAGAAATGCATGGCCATAGTCTGGTTTCTTCCCAGCAGACCCTCTTTTTCTGCGGGCCAAGTGGAGATTGGGGTGAGCATGATGGTCAGTGGAGCAAGGAATAGACGAGGATAGGAATCAAGGGATTGTTAAAGGACGAAACGCGTTGGTGGTTCCGAGACGAACATTAACCTGTGATACTCGAGTACGGTACGAGTACATAATATCTTTGACGCAATTACCGGTAGTCTCCATCTGATAACGTCACATTCCACCCTAACCCCTGGAGAAAAGGGAAACGCGGTGAAAATTTGATCCAACTTATCATACCGATCAGGATCTTAATCTTTGGTCTAATCAATCTTATCCGATGGACAACAAGCCGTCATCATTTAAACCCACCCGCAGCTCCGACGACCCGTGTTCGCAGAATGTGTGTACTTGTACGAGTACCGTATGGACTCGTCACAAGACGTTCATCAAATTAACTTTGTGACCTTCCAAGATGTGGCGTGATGACCCGTGGGTCTTCTTGATCCGACATCCTGCTGCGGTGCCCTGTGTCCTTCCGAGGAACCCCACCCTTCCCCCCCTACAGCCTACAAACGGCGAACATCTCCAGTTTTGCCAACAGGGAATGGGTACGGGATCTACCATTTTATCGGGGTTTACGTGGGAAAAGGGCTCTTTCCTCCCTTTGGCGTGGGTTGGAGAGGATTTATCTGATGAGGCAACAATGCTGGTGGCTTGGACATTGGGTTAGTGCGGGATGGAGACTAGGGCCCTTGTGATCGGATAGTCCAAGGGGGAAGGTAGGGATGATGTGGTCGACTTGCTGCATACATGCCAAGCAACCTTTGTTTCTCGCATCCGAGCCGTGGAGAGGCTCCTACGAGTATAGACACTCTGCTTTCACGGTAATCCACTTTGCAGTGCCGGCACCACTGCTTCACCATTCGCACCACCTTTTACGCACAGAGCGGATATTATTTGCTTATCATCACAGCGGCCTGGGCCAATTTCTTGTCTCTCTTTGCATTTCACTCTAGCCCCCACTTTCCTCTTTTACCCAATTCTGACCGCACGGAGCTACCTGGCTTGTGGTACCGGTAGAGGAGGTGTGGCCGTCGTGGGGCGAGGAGACTGTTGTTCTATCAATGCTGATTCGATATCGCACTCAAACGCCGTTTGGGAAGGATCACGCCCGCCCATCGAGGCTCAGAGGAGGAGGAGGAGAGCTTAACACGCCTGTTCTGTCCGTAGAGTATCTGCTCGATATGACCATACCTTGAGTACCTTGGTGAGAACTTCGGGCTCTTATTTGCTTTGATAGTCCTCCTCGACCAGAGCTCTTCTGCTCCTATCGAAATCACATTTTCCTCCTCCGAAATAAAAAAGGTCACGCAGTCAGTTCCGGAAACTAGCAAACCAAACACATCTGCTGTAAAGCTGCTGACCGCAAGGATCCATTCGGCGGAGTATCTCTGTTTGCTTTTTTACACGCCGATAAATACTCTCTCAAGCTGTTTGGCGTTCACATCTTTCTTCTTGTCATTACCGCTGTCAGCGCTTTGATTGGGGTTCTCAAGCACAAACAATTACATCAACCCTTGCTTCGCTAGCAGCTCCAAGAAATTATAATCTTGTTTTTTCGGACCACCATTTCTTTGGGCGCTCTTTATTTTGCCAATTCGATCATTTCCTATAGTATCACCAATTCGGGTCCGTCGTACGAGTACTCGAGTAGAGTCTAGCCGTTGAAACTGACCAATGCGATGTCAAGTAATCCGGCTGACCACCAAATGCGCCGTTACACGGTTTTTCCCAACCTCTGCATTGCCGCAGCACCAACCCCCGATCCTGAGCTGCCTACGCATAACTCGGTGGAGCTTCGAATTCCCAGCAATATTTCAGAGGAATCGATACTTGTCTCATGGTCGCGGATATTGAGGGGATACGTACCCGGGGATAGTGTGGTGTTTCGAGTTGGAGATGAAGTTGTTAATGTTGATTTTCTGACTGGCGACGTGGGGCACATTCCTGAGAAAATCGTCCAAGTTGGGGACGAGGAAGGTGCTTCGCAGAGATGTACCGGCATTTATTTCCAAACTGTATGTGACCCCGCATCATCATCCTCGTTATCGGGATGAACTCAAGCGTGATGTTTTAACCCTCTGACCAATTGATCCACGTGACTTAATAGGTTGAAGCCGCACAGCTGCCCGATGTGTTTCTAGTAGTAAACTTCTCGGAGTCGATTATTTCCATATCGGCCTCCAAGGCGGTGGTTCCTCCTCAGCACCTGCAATCACTTGCCTCACAACTTCTTCGGGTTCTATCGGGAGACCCCGCTTTTCTGTTGGAGCAGATTGCCGAGTCCGGTGCCAATCCCCAGGATACGGGGGCTTTCGTTGCACTTGGGAACGGCAATTCCGTGTCATTTGGCGAGCTGTCGGTTCTAAACCCTCATCCTCAAAAGCTCGTTGGACCAAGGCTCTTACACGAGCTCATATCTCCTGCACATTGTGGACACAGAGCCTTGGACTTTATGTATGCGGACGGAGAAGCGCGGAAGTATCATTCGTATGAACAACTCGACACTCTTTCCACCCAATTCGCCCTTCGCCTTCTCGACTACCTACCTCACGACGGAACCGGGCACGCTATTCCGGTCTTGCTTCCGCAATCGCCGGAGCTATATATCGCATTGATCGGGATTTTAAAAGCTGGTGCAGCATTTGTGCCACTAAATCTTGACGCCCCGGCAGAGCGAATCCGCTTCGTTTCTGGGGATGTAAGGGCAAGCGTTGTTGTTACGGAATCATCATTTTCCAATATTTTTACATGGGAAGGGTGTCCGCCAACTGTCCTCGCTGACAGGAACACAACAACGGCTCCAGACGAGCTCAGGCTGCCTTCGGACATCGACCCTAGTGGGCCAGCATATGTTATGTATACCTCCGGCTCCACTGGCACTCCGAAGGGCGTCATAATTTCTCACTCAGCCGCTACCCAATCCCTTCTGGCCCATGAGGAACATATTCCATTGTTCGAACGATTCCTTCAGTTTGCCGCGCCTACATTCGATGTCTTTGTCTTTGAAATGTTCTTCCCATTGTTCCGCGGAAAGACCCTTGTTGCTTGCGACCGGGGGAGACTCCTCGCAGATCTTCCGGGAGTGATCAACCGGCTCAATATAGACGGAGCGGAGCTAACCCCAACGGTTGCGGGCGGGCTTCTTATTGAGCGAAACAAAGTGCCCGGGCTAAAAGTGTTACTGACAATTGGCGAGATGTTGACACGCCAGGTCGTGGACCAGTTCGGGGGCAGCGTACTGCAGGGCATGTATGGACCAACCGAGGCAGCAATACATTGTACCCTTGCAATCGGTTTTGAAAAGAGCTGGAAGATCGGGGATATTGGGGTGCCGTTTAAAACAGTTTCTGCCTTTGTCCTTTCTACTACCGCGTCCGACCCGGAGGTTTTACCCCTCGGCTGGACTGGCGAGCTCGCGATTGGGGGATATCAGCTTGCCGATGGATACTTGAATCGTCCGGAATTAACGAAGGAAGTATTTATCGATTCGAAAGAATACGGTAGACTTTATCGGACCGGGGATCGTGCGAGGATATTACCGGGCGGAAGGATTGAGTGTCTTGGCAGAGTTGGAGCTGGTCAGGTTAAGCTTCGAGGGCAAAGGATAGAACTAGGAGAGATAGAAGAGGTTGTGTTGAGAACACCAGGCGTTAAAGGTGCTGTTGCGAGTGTATTGGGGGACAGGCTGGTCGTCTATGCTGGAGGTGGAGTCGAGCGAAAAGCTGTATATGATGTTTGTAAGAAGTGGCTACCGGGCTTTATGGTACCGAGTGATCTTGTGATATTTGACGTATTACCACGATTACCTTCCGGCAAGGCTGATCGGAAGAGACTGGATAAACAATACTTGGAGACATCTCAAATGCCTGCCCCAGAGGGTGGCACCGAGGAGCTCAACGATATGGACCAAATTGTCATTGGTGGTGTCGAGGAATTATTAGGTCACAGGCCGTCTAGACAGGGCAGCCTCATGGCGATGGGACTCGATTCAATACAAGCTATTCGCCTGGTCTCAGTCTTACGATCACAAGGCTTTACTGTCGAAGTAGTTGATGTTCTCCGGGCCGATTGCGTCGATGGCATTGCTTCCGCAATGCGCCTAACCGAAACGGGTTCGCCGAATTCCTTAGCCAACGAGAATATCATAGCCAAATTCCGTGCGATACAGGAAGCTGTACGACCAAGATTGTCAGCGCAACAAGAGGGTATCCAAGACATTTTACCTTGCACACTTATACAGGAAGCTATGCTCGCTGAAACTGCAAGAGACTCTGAAGCATACTGCAACTGGATTTTGTTGGAGCTACCTTTGAGACTCCCGGCTTCTACTATTGAAGAGGCTTTCCGGGGTATCATTGACCGTAACGAGATCCTGAGAACGAGTTTTGTGACTGTCGGTGACGGGTTCGCTCAAGTCGTTTGGAAATCATCTAGGACTGGACAGTTTTCCCTTGCGGACGAAGTTCGGTCATCATGGAAAGTGGCGTCACTTGAGCAGCTTGTTGAACCCCCTTTTGCAGCTTCCTTGGTTGGGGGTACAGGTGTTTGGCAGTTAAGTGTACACCTACATCATGCTGTTTACGATGGTTGGTGTTGGGAGCAGGTGCTCTCTGACTTCTCCTTCTATCTAAGCGGGAGCACCAAATTACCAATTCGGCCACAATACCGAGATATAGTTCAATACGAAATATCAAGAAGTAGAGAGTCAAAGGAAGTATCTGAGGGAGTTTGGAAACGATTTTTAGATGGGGCTCCCGATTCGAGACTACCTGGCTTCCATGGGCATACTGCTGCTCCTCCTGGCATCTTTACAGAGATGATTGATTTACGGGTTACCCGCTCAGAATATGAAGCTTCGGCAAGGGTGATGAGGGTCAGCCCACAGACACTTATCCAAACGGCCTGGGGCTATCTGTTGAGTCTCTGCGTAGGATCTCCGGATGTCGTTTTTGGGACGGTGGTCTCGGGAAGGACAATGGCTCTGCCCGGGGTTGAGGATATCTTAGGACCAACCATTCTCACACTGCCGCTCAGAGTGAAAATAGGGCAAGGAGCCACTATAGAGGATGTTGTTCAGGATGTCCATAGGGGCAATCGGCTGGTATTGGAGCATTCCGGGCTTCCACTGAGAGAGATTAGGAAGGTTTGCGGAATTGAAGGGACACAGTTCAATTCCTTACTAGTGTGGCAGCAAACACTGAAGACGGGAGGGGATCTCGGGTTGGTAAGACAGGTCGAGAGCCGAGACAGACTTGAGGTAAGCGCTCCCATCTTGTGAGGTCCTATGAACCCTGATGTTGATCTTTGCGTGGTTTAGTTTCCTTTGCTGCTAGAGATTGAGCCCAGCCAGGATGCTATCCAAATCAGGGCGACATACCAGCACGCCGTGCTACCGCACTCACATGTTAAACTTCTTCTAAGACAGTTGGACCAACTTGTTTCTGGGATTATTTCTCAACCGGCAAGCAAACTGAGGAACCTATTGGATTCCTTGAGCGAAGATACTCTTGCAATTGAGAATCCATATCCAGCACCAGCTGCAGATCCTAAAACGGCTTCTCTTGCAGAACTTTTCGAGCTCTCTTCGGTGATGAGACCTACAACTATTGCACTTGATTTCGCAAGGAACCTTGTCGATGACGCACCCGACTCAACAAAACTCACTTATGCCGAGCTTAACACACATGCAAACAAACTCGCTCATCATCTGATCTCGCTGGGCGCCATCGCCGACGAACTTGTCTGCGTGTGCATGGAAAAGTCGCCTGAAATGTATATAGCTATACTGGCGATTCTCAAGGCTGGCGCAGGTTACCTCCCGCTCACACAAGAAACGCCAAAGCAGCGCATGAGACAGATTTTAGAAATTGCCGGGGTAAAGATTTGTTTGACTACTGAAAATTTGAAAGATAAGTTAGGAATACCGGAGGATTCGCGGGTGGTAGCGGTTGATGTCATAGATGTTGACGAATACACTGATAACAATCCCGGGACTGTCCGAAGTGGTGACACATTAGCATACGCTGTGTTCACTTCTGGAAGCACGGGTTCCCCGAAGGGGGTTCTAGTTACTAACGCCAATATTGTGGATAATCTCCTGGTTTTGAAGGAATTGTATCCTACCAACGAGCGGTCTAGGCTTCTGCAGTTTTGCTCAATTAGTTTTGATGGTAGGGTTGTCCGTTTTAATTATGGGAAATTGGGATAACATTTGATTAGTATCTGTTTTCGAGATCTTCTATGCATGGGCCATGGGCATCCGCCTATGTTCCGGAACTAAGGATGTACTCCTCCGTGATATCGAGGGCGCAATCAACACGATGAGGATCACCCACTTGAGCATGACTCCAACAGTTGCTGCACTGGTCAGTCGGAAGAATGTGCCAAGAGTTGAGTTCTTGGTAACGGCGGGCGAGGCTTTAACGCGTAAGGTTTATGATGATTGGGCAGGGAAGGGACTCTTCCAAGGTTAGATTTACTGAACCCATCTAAGAGAGACGAGAGCTGAAAGTTTGTAGGATATGGGCCGAGCGAAACCGTGAACATATGTACCGTGAAGCCGAATGTACGGGAGATTGACCATATCAATAATATTGGGGCACCGTTTACGAACACATCCGCGTTCGTGGTTGCAGATTCTGAAGAGGAATTTAGAGTGTTACCGTTGGGTGGAATTGGGGAGCTCTGTTTCGGGGGCGCTCAAGTGGTGAGATATCATGATACGTCTAGATTTCCACCGTTGTTCAGGCTAACTAGCGATTTAGGCGCGCGGATACCTGAATATGCCCGAACTCACGAGTCGCAAATTCATTTCCCATCCCAAATACGGCAGGGTATACAGATCCGGTGATATCGGGAGAATGCTGCCTGACGGTTCGCTCGAGTTCATCGGACGGCAGGACGACCAAGTCAAAATTAGAGGCCAGAGGATCGAGCTTGGAGAAATCGCCTCGGTTTTACTTCGATCGAAGGATGTTATTGATGCGGCGGTGATCCCAGTCCGAAGAGAGCCACAAGATCCCTATCAGCTCGTCGCTTTCGTCGTTCTACGGGGATTGGAGAGTTCGGAATTTTCGGTAACCCAGAATAATGAGCATGTGAAGAAGTTAGTTGCCGAGATTTTCCAGGGCGTGACAAACTTCCTTCCACCATATATGGTTCCGCCTGCTATAATTCCGTCGACCGCACTGCCGATGACGGCCCAAGGAAAGATCGATACAAAGCTACTACATTCTACGTACTTCGGACTGGACAGCGGCGTTGCAGAAGATTATACGTTGGGATCTTCATCTGGAGTAGGTGGACAGGAATGGACAGCACTAGAACGCGAGATTGCAGACGTTATCGCTGAGGTCGCACGAGTGACGCCTGACGAGGTCGGGCGAACGACATCCATATTCGGACTAGGACTTGACTCGATATCAGTTATCCAATTATCTAATCGACTCGCAAAGACGGGATATATAAGACTAGACGTTTCCCAGATTATGCGAAATCCGAGTGCAAGTTCTATTGCAAATTTGTTGCAAGCTTCCGTGCTTGATCCAATACTAAGCAAGCCCGTTCCTAATGGCCGCATAGATGAATTTGCGGCGGAAGTCAAGGGCTCAGTTTTGGGTCAACTTGGGCTCTCCGAGGATGGAGTCAAGATGATCCTTCCTTGCACCCCGTTGCAAGAGGCGATGCTTAGCCAGAATGAGGATGCGGACTTGAGCCTTTACTACAATCACACCACACTTAATCTTAGTGCGGATCCAGCACGATTACGGCAAGCGTGGGAACTTGTGCTCAAGACACACGATATAATGAGGACTTGTTTTTGCCTCACACCTCACCCACGACATGCATATGCCCAAGTGGTGCTTAACGATTATCAACTGCCTTGGTCTTCCTTCCAGTTAGAGGCGGGCGTGGATATCTCGGAAGTGATTAACCAGCGGATTGCTTATATATCCGAATCACTTGGAACCTCGAGGCCGCCATATGCATTTTCGTTACTACAGACCTCCGGAAAGGCAACCCTAATAATGCATTTCCATCACTCTTTGTATGATGGGTTTGCTATGGATATGTTACTAGATGACGTACGCAGAGCTTACCACGGCTTGGAACTTCCTGTCAGGGGTACTTTCAAACGGTTCTTGGAGTATATGGAGGACCTAGACTTGGCTCGGGCTGACGAATTTTGGAAGCAAACATTAGAAGGCCTCGAACCTTCTTTGTTCCCAGACTTGACTGGACTGGCGGCCGCGGTAGGGTGCTCACTTGCAGGAATGAGTTCAGCGAAGATTTCTTGCTCAAGGAGTTTAACATCCGTCGAGGGAGGTTGTAGAGGCTTGCAGACGTCCCTCTTAGCCCTTGGACAGACTGCTTGGGCGCGGCTACTTTCTGTGTGCACTGGTGAAGCCGATGTTTGCTTCGGTAATGTGGTCAGCGGACGGACTATTCCTGTCGAGGGAGTTGAAGATGTTATTGCCCCATGCTTCAATACCGTGCCTATCCGAGTTCAAGTTTCGCCTGATTCAACCAATTGGGATATCGCAAACAGGCTGCAATTAATCAATGCAGAGTTACTTCCATTTCAGCTCACCCCCTTACGAAGAATCATGACTACACTACGCACCCAAGGGCAGAGGTTGTTCGACACATTGTTCATTCTACAACATGCCAGTCACCCATCTGATATGGAGGAATTATGGTCCGAGGTTGGCGACCGAGGAGAGATGGATTTCTCTATTGTAGTAGAACTTGTGCCGTCTCGGAAGACAGACACTTTGGAGATTGCGCTTCACTTCCGGAGGTACGTTTTAATAGAGATGTAGCGAGCTTGTAACATAGTACTGATATCTGGGCAGAGACATATTGCTAGGCGAACATGTAGATGTTCTCGTAAGATTGTTAAACTGTGCTATTGTCTCTTCTCTTAGTCAGCCATCCAATTCTGCTACGGATTTCATGTCTTTCGATCAAAATTTCCTTTCGTGCGCAAATAGCATACCAGTCAATATCTACGACGAGCGAAGTCCGGGTCTATTACACTCTGAATTCGAACGTCATGCAGAAGAGGGCTCGTCACGCAATGCTCTGGAATATCTTAATAAGGATGGCGAGATCGCTACCTGGACATTCGGAAAACTTAATCAGGAAGCTAACAGAGTTGCACACTACCTAATCAGCAAAGGAATGAAGAGGGACGACGCGGTACCACTATGTCTGGAAAAATCTCCAATGTTTTATATTTGCGTTCTCGGTGTGTTGAAAGCCGGTTCCGCTTTTACTCCAATCGACCCCAGCTTGCCGGAACAGCGGAAACGGTTTATGATTGAGGAACTTGGTGCTAAAATAGTGCTTGCAGCCAAGTCAACTTCTCAAGACCTAAGGATCCCCAAGGGAGTGGAGCTTGTGGATATCACGAGTGAGGATCTATCATCTTGGCCAAATTCGAATCCCATAATAGAGGATCTTAGGGAGGATTGCCTGGCATATCGAATTTATACCTCTGGATCAACAGGAAAGCCCAAGGCGGTATCGTTGGAGATCCGCAGTGCAGTCCACACGTTCCATGCTTCCCGATCCATCATCCCATGGAGAGAAAGCTCGAGATTACTACAGTTTGCCGCAACAACATTTGATATGTGTTATTATGACTGTTTCATGGCCTGGACTTACGGGTTTACTCTCTGCTCCGCGGACAGGAGCCGATTGCTTGGTGATTTGGAAGGGACAATCAAGAGGATGGGAGCTACAATGTTAGACTTGACTCCCACCGTGGCATCAACTCTACATCCGGAGAATTTGCCGGAGGTTGAATTACTTTATTGCATCGGAGAGACCATGCCTCAGAATCTCGCCAATGACTGGGACGGGCGTTGCGCTAACTCTTATGGGCCCACTGGTAAGAAATATCATCCTGATATTCGATTGACACTAACGTGATATACAGAAGCGGCAATGTGTTGCACGATCGTTCCCACCAACAAGAAAATCAAGCCTTCGAATATCGGTAAGCCATTCGGTACTGTGAGCTTCCATGTACTCACCCAGGACGGGAGATCAATGGTCCCAATATTTGGGAGCGGAGAGCTATGTATTGGAGGTCCGCAGGTTGCGCGGGAATACCATAACAACCCGGAACTTACGGCAAATAGATTTATCAACTTCGGAGGAAACCGAATCTACCGAACTGGTGACCTAGTTCGCCAGCTGGCGGATGGAAGTTTTACATTCATTGGGCGTGCAGATGACCAGGTCAAGATTCGGGGACTCCGTGTGGAGTTGGACGAGATCAACTCCGTGCTTAGGGGTGCACATGATAGAATTATAGATGCTACGACTATAATTATGAAGCGCAGTGATGATTCCAAGGAGCAACTTGTGTCCTTCCTTGCGCTGGGGGACCGAAAACAACATGGGACGAGGGCCATTGTTCTCAAGGTCGATTCGCAGCCGGACGGTATCACGACAGCATCCCGCAATGCCGCGATAGCCAAGCTTCCACGATATATGGTTCCCGGGGTTATCCTGGTCATAGATCATATTCCGCTCTCGGCAGCTGGCAAGATTGACAAGAGGTCCTTAGCAACACTATTCAAAGAGCAGGATATCCAGTCACTTACTTCCAGACTTGCTGATGCAGACGATGGCACGGAATGGACCGAAGCCGAGACAAAAATCAGAGAGGCCTTTTCAAAGATATCACGAGTTCCCGTTGAGCAGATTTCGCGACCTTCCACGATTTACGAGATTGGACTTGACAGTATCAGTGCTTCACAAGTTGCTATGGAGTTGAGGAAGGCTGGACTGCAGGTTTCCGTGATTGATATATTGGAAAGACCCTCAATTACATTACTTTCTCCTAACCTGAAATCTATCACCGGGGTATCAACAGCAGAGGATACATCCAATGAGATGCTCTCTGTATTCGCCGCGCGCTTTATGGATCGGGTTTGTGCTGAAACAGGATTACCGAAAGATAAAATTACTAGTGTATATCCTTGCACACCGCAGCAAGAAGGGATGATTTCCCAATTTCTGCGGTCTGAGGGGAAGCTGTATTTTAATCACATAGTTTTTGAGCTCCCAGAAAACATCGATCTATCAAAACTACGCGATTCCTGGTATGTCGTTTTTAAGTCACTCGATATTCTACGAACCGGTTTTGCTGGCGTCGACGATGCTCAGCATTCCTTTTCAATGATTGTCCATAATCCGAGTACTGTTAAACTACCTTGGTCAGTAGTGCCAACGAGAGAAAACTTGGAGGAGCTCATCGCAAGCCAGAAAGGCGAGAAGGCTTCCATCGCACTCAGGGATCTTCATTTACCATTATGGAGCCTCACTCTATTCGAAAAGTCTTCCGGGAATCATTTTCTCATGTTATCTGCACACCACGCGTTATACGATGCACACTCCCTAACAGTTATCCTTCATAGTGTTGCCCGTCAATACTCTAGGAAAGCCTATTCCCTATCACACACATTTTCCCGTGCCCTTAGCGAGATCGTGAAACATACCACGGATAGTAAGATTATATCTGATGATCAGGAATTCTGGAAAAAGCATCTCCACGGCTGCACAATCTCCCGGTTTCCGAACCTGTCCCCCCTCAGAGTTAAGAGCACCGCAAGCCATGTATCTTCCATCGACGCAAATTGGAGTTTGTCGGATATTGAAAAGGCATGTAGGCAACTAGGGATATCGGTGCATGCTGCCGGGCAAGCAGCCTGGGCCAGGGTTTTGTCAGCGTATTCGGGAGAGACTACAGTGACAGTGGGTGTCGGTTCGTGTTCCTTCCGACTCGGTGTTGGTGGACGGTACTGACGAAAAGTAGTAATTTCGGGAAGGTCCGGGATTAGTGATGCCGAGGATCTGGCGTTTCCTTGTATCGCGACTCTCCCGTCGCTATGCGTGCTGGCAGGAAGCAATCGGGAGCTTACACTCAACATTCAGAATGGAAATTCCCAGATGCTCAAGCATCAACATACGCCTCTTAGATCGATACAGAAGTGGCTGGGTCATGCTGAACAGTCTCTGTTCGACACGATTTTCGTATATCAGAAGGGTGAAGTCCGCCAGGACGGGGCCGGCCTTGCCTGGAAAACAGTGCAAGAAGAGGCATCTGTCGATTACTCGATATCTTTGGAGCTAGAACCTGTTGCAGGCAATTCTTTACTGATCCGTGCTACGTGCAAGGACAATATCATGCCACGAGAGCAGACAGAATTATTGCTCCATCAGTTCCAGGCGGCCTTGGTCGACATCCTGGAATCGCCCGATAGCCTTAGCACTGAATTTTACCGGTTCCCCAAAGAACTCCTTTCTTGTACCCCCGCGGAAGAGGACGAAATCCCCACTGACATTCACCTTCTTCACAAATTTGTTGAGAAGCATCGTCATCTTGTTCCGGACAAAGTTGCATATGAGTTTGCGACTTCAATCGAGCAAGGATGCACGATCAAGGAGACATGGAGTTACACTCAGCTCGACGAAGAAGGTAATAAAGTTGCAAACTACTTACTAGACCAGGGAGTCAAGACTGGAGATATCATCGGAATCTGCTTTGACAAATGCCCGGAGGCGTCGTTCGCCATTCTTGGGATTTTGAAAGCCGGCTGTGCATTTGTCGCCCTGGACTACAATGCGCCCATAGACCGGAAGTCCTTCATAATTTCGGACTCGAAAGCAAAGCACGTTCTCACAATGGATAAATTCGCGAATGAGTTAAACGGTAAATTAGACGCAAAGATCGTCAGCATGCAAAGCAGTATTACAATAAAAACCGCCTCCACGGACACCCCCGAAATCCCAGATCTGAAGCCCAGCGGCCTATGCTATTGCCTCTACACTTCCGGTACAACTGGAACACCGAAGGGCTGCGAACTAACACACGAGAACGCCGTTCAGGCCATGCTTGCCTTCCAGCGCCTATTCAGCCCCCATTGGGACTCCGAATCCCGCTTCCTCCAGTTCGCATCCTTCCACTTCGACGTTAGTGTTCTAGAGCAGTTTTGGAGCTGGAGCGTGGGCGTTTGCGTGACCTCTGCTCCTCGAGATCTTATCTTCCAAGACCTTGCACTAACTATTCGGGAGTTGCGGATAACGCACTTGGACCTTACACCGAGCCTTGCTACGTTGATTAAGCCAGAAGAGGCACCGCTGTTGTGTAAGGGTGTGTTTATCACCGGGGGTGAGCAACTCAAGCAGGAGATTTTGGATGTTTGGGGAGAGAAGGGGTGTATTTATAACGGGTAATACATTGATACCACGTTAATACCCTTGTCAGAGAACTAATACTCGATAGATACGGGCCTACCGAGGTTACAATCGGGTGCACAATGTACCCTAGGGTTCCAGCAAGCGGGAAACCGTCGAATATTGGACCTCAATTCGCCAATGTTGGGTCATTTGTTTTGGCTCCAAGCACGGACAAACCGGTTCTTCGTGGTGCGATAGGAGAGCTCTGTGTTTCCGGGAAGCTAGTGGGACGTGGATATCTGAATCGGCCCTTACTTACCGAAGAAAAATTCCCCTATCTCGAATCCTTGGGCACTCGCATATACCGCACCGGTGATTTGGTCCGTATATTCCATGACGGCACATTTGACTTTGCAGGGAGAGCAGATGACCAGGTCAAACTTCGTGGGCAGCGATTGGAAATCGGCGAAATCAACGAGACACTCAAGCAAGCGACCACTCGCGCCCGGGCTGTAGCGACCCTGGTCTTGAGGCACCCAAAGCAGCAGAAAGACCAACTTGTGTCGTTCGTCGAGCTAGAAACCGGAGGGTCCATTAATCGTTCCGATATCAAGGTTTTTGATGACCCTAAACAGTACTCTCAGGTCATCACTATCTTAACAGACGAGTGCAGACGCAAGCTACCTTTGTATATGGTCCCCACTCACTTCTTGCCTGTTTCTGCGATCCCACTCTCGGTAAATAATAAAGTTGACAACAAGAGACTTAAAGTACTCTATCATGAAACATCACTCGAGACACTTCAGCGGATTTCGAAAAGGGAGGATGCAGAAGATGGGAATTGGTCTGAGGTTGAGGAGAGGTTAAGGTTTGTGCTAGCTGATCTGACCACCCTCAAGCCCTCTGATATAAAACGGTCGTCCACAATTTTCGAGCTTGGTTTGGACTCTGTTTCTGTGGTGGGACTGGCTCGTCGCTTAAAGAGGGCCGGTTTCGTGGCGGCGTCCGTTTCCATTATTGTGCAGCGTAAGCTTCTCATTACCTTTATTTGATATCTACTAACTCTATATACAGACCCACTTTTATCTCAGCTAGCTTCAGAACTAAGTAGAGAAGACGCTAGCAGTTCACAAGAGTTATCCATTGCCGAATCGGTGAAACAGAACGTGTCAGCTTTCGTCAACAAGAACGCATTTGAGGTTTACGAACAGCTTTCCCTAGACCCTAGTGATGTCGAAGCAATCTCTCCATGCACGGCACTTCAGGAAGGGATGATAGCTAGGTTCCTTGATTCCGAAAAGCCACTTTACTACAATTCTTTCCCGATGGTGATGTCTTCGCCTAATGACGTCGATGGGATCCGCAAAGCATGGATTCAGGTAATACGCTCCACGGGGATACTGCGTACTTGCTTCTGCGAGACTCCGGATGGATACGCTCAGGTGGTCCTTAAGAACCCTGAGATGCAGTGGGATAAAATCTCAACACCCGATAACACTGTTCAAAACACTATCCTAGGCAAACTAACGAAGCACGCGGACTCCAATAGGGACTTGCATAAGGTGCCGCTTTACCTTCTCGTTGTGGAAACCCCAAAGAGGACGCTTCTTGTTCTTAATATCTTCCATGCACTTTACGACGGGAGCAGCTTGCCATTGATCCTTGCGGATGTCCAGATGGCTTATCATGGCCAATACGAACCAAGACCTTACCAATTCGCCGACGTTGTCGGACATCTACTTTCGGTCGATACCACCAGAGCGCGCACATTCTGGGAGAAGGCACTCGCTGGGGCCACCCCCCACCGCTTTCCCGAAACCCCCGGGGTGATAGACGAGGGTGACCATATGGTACATCTCGCTTCCAAAACTAGTATCGCAAGTGTCGAATCTATCTGCAAGAGGATTGGATGCACCCCCCAAGCTGTATATCAATCTGCGTGGGCAAGTGTGCTATCAGGATTTATAGGACTGAGACCGGTCTTTGGAATTGTTGTTTCTGGACGCGCTATTCCATTGGAGAACGTTGAACAGACTATCGGGCCACTTTTCAACACCATTCCATCAACGTTAAATCTCGAAAATGCGTTATCGTGGGAAGAACTGATTAAGGAAGCACACCACTTCTACTCAGAATCTATTCCATATCATCATACACCTTTGAGCCTTGTCAATAAGTGGATGCGAGCAACAGCAGAGAGGCCACTATTTGATACTTTGTTCGTATACCAAAAGGGTGAGACCGCGAATTCTAATCTGGGCGTCCCCTGGGAACTTATGGATAGTGCCGCTTCTGCAGATGTATGTATTCTGATTTCCCATCCGATGTGTCGCCGTTGCTAATTATTTCACTAGTATCCTCTCGCGCTAGAAGTTGAACAAAGTCACTCCCATGGAGTGAAGTTCTCGATAGTCTCGAAAGGATCACTCATGACAAGAGAGATGTCCTTGGAGCTGCTGGAACGCCTCGACGGACAGCTGCAGTGCATTGCAGACGACCCAACCTGCCGACCATCTATTGTATCCACTCTAGAAAAACAGCCCACCTCCAATGTGACCAATCTCGACAATTCACCTAACCGAGAACATTCCTCTTGGGGAACAAAAGCTAATATCCTGCGCCAAACAATAGCGGCTCTCGCCGAGGTCGATGAATCCGATATTACTATGGACTCTTCTATATTCGAACTAGGATTGGACAGCATTGAAGCTATCAAGTTATCCTCACGGCTTCGTCGGTATGGAATGAAAATCTCAGTAGGCAACATTATGCGAAACCCAACCATCCGGAAGCTGGAGTTGCTCCTCAGTGGATCTTCAGTCCAGCCAGAGGGATCGAGCGAGGAAGAGCTACTTCCTAAGTTCGCGGAGTGCATACGAAAAGTTTGGAAGTTTCAGAGACATGACGATATTGAAGCTATTTACCCAACCACACCTCTCCAGGAAGCCATGATAGCCGAAACCCTAGCCTCAGACTACCAATTGTATTTCAACCACGATGTCTTGAATATAGAGGACTGGGTCAACACTGACGATCTCCGACGGGCCTGGACCACCGTAGTCGAACGGTCCGAAATTCTAAGGACAAGCTTCTTCAATGCATCTGAGCTATTCCCCCAATCCCCGTGCACCTTTGGTCAACTAGTTCACAAACGGTCAAAATTCCACTGGGGCGAAGTAACTGCGACCAACAACGGCGATCTCCATGCCACTTTCAAGAATGTCATGCAGGAAGCCACGGAGGAGGTTGACGTGCTGCAAGGCCCCCCTTTCAGAGTTACAATTGTACACAGTGACAAGGCTAGGCATCTCATACTCTCCATATCTCATGCTCTCTATGACGGGTGGTCTATTGCATTGCTACATGAGGACGTACAAAACGCATACCATGATTCACTAACTCAGAGGCCATCTTGTCGTCTACTATTGGAAAATGTTTACGGTGAAGACCAAAAACTGGCCGAAAGATTCTGGAAACAGATTCTTGCAGGCGCTTCTCCCTCAAGCTTCCGAACCCTATCGACCGGAACAGAAAAACCCAGGAGTTACAGACAAGAACAAAATTCATCTATGTCGTTCTCAGCCATCCAGGCATTCTGCAAGCATACGGGGGTCACTGTTCAATCGCTTGGACAAACGTGCTGGGCGCTCCTTTTGGCTCATCACTTGGCTGAACCAGACGTTGTGTTTGGCACCGTTCTTTCGGGAAGAGATTTTGATTCCGCAGATGAGATTATGTTTCCGGCAATGAATACAGTTCCTATCCGAGCGATCATCCATGGGTCATACAAGGAGATGTTACAATATATGCAAGACAATTCTGCAAATGTAATCAAGTACCAGCATACCCCTCTTCGGAAAATTCAAAAACTTGCCAGTAGTAATGGACAGCGCCTTTTCGATACTTTGTTCATATACCAGCGCGGCCGCAAGGGGTCAGTTGACAAGCAGAAGGCTTTGTGGCATTCGGTTGGTGGGACATCCGAGGTTGAGGTAAAAATCTACTGAAATACCATTGGTTGGACCCGGCTGACTGTAGAAGTATAATGTTTGTGTTGAGATGGAACAGGCTGGGGATAATTTGATATGGAGGACAGCTTGCAAATCGACAGTGTTTGGCTTCGAAAACAGACAGTCGCTTCTTCAGATGCTGGACTCGTTACTGGTCGATATCGTAAGCCATACTAACCAGCCTTCCATCACGTACCGTGAAACTGGCCTCACATTTGGAAATCTTCCAATTTCGACTGCGGACAGCTCAAGCCCGATGAAAACTCTGAACGGGGTTCGAATAGACCTCGGGGGAGTAGAATCAATCGTCAAAAAATCAGCAGAGATCATCAGTGATTGTGGTGCAGTTGTTTTAGAAGAGAAAGGGAGGAACTTACTTGTCCTTTTTGTTACTACAATCAACCAAAGCGAAGTGTCAACGCAGTCCCTAATTCAGTTTGCCAGGCAAAAATTGCCTCATTGGTCACTTCCATCGTTCGTCGTCCCCATCGCAACCATTCCATACGCAAACTATCAGGTAGACCGGTCAGAATTAACAGCTTTATTCCATTCTCTACCATCCAAAGAAAAACAAGAATACTCCATTTCTGTCGGGAGAACTAGCGAATGGACTTCATTGGAAAAAACCTTTCGCGAAGTTCTTGCGAGGGTCTCAAACACCCCCGAAGGGGAAATTGGGCGAACACAAACGATTTTTCATTTGGGCCTCGACTCTATAAGCGCTATTTCTCTCTCGTCAGAATTGAGGAAGAACTTGATCTTCTTGAGCGTTGCAGAAATCCTTAGCGCAGCGACAATCGAGCGTATGGCGGCGTCTGCTCGCGCCATGAGTAGCCACGCAGCGCTGAATCCCCTTGATAGCAGGAGTATTATCTCTAAGGCCTGCAAGAACGTCGAGTATATGAGAGTTCCGGAGGGTGTCAATAGCCACGGAGTTGAGTTCACGATGCCAGCTACTCCTGGTCAACATTACATGATCTCGAGTTGGATAAGTTCGGGTTATAAACTTTTTATGCCCACTTTCTCTTTCAAATGTAGGCGAGTGGAACCCTCTTGCGTTCTGACTGGATGGGAGGCGCTCGTTCGACAAGAGCCAATTCTTCGCACTACTTTTGCTGCTACAAATGATACGGATGTCCCGCTTGTTCAATTGATTCTCCGGAGCCCGCCAACCCAATGCAAACAATACCAATCTTCGTCACCTGATAACGGTGCCCTTATTCGATTCCTCATCTCACAAGAACAGGCTAAGGAACTTGATATGTCTCTCCCGCCAGTATTTCTGTGCACATTGAACACACCCACAGAGACCTTCATTTTCATCACCATTCACCACGCTCTGTATGATGGCGTTAGCCTTCCACGCTTGATCGCTAAATTCCAAGGATTCCTTGATAAGTCGATCGGCCGACTCCCCACCCCTGATCCGGAAGGCCCCGATTTCGTGGATACAGTTGCTTTTATGCAATCTCGAGATCTTGGCCACCAACGCTCGTTTTGGACTAGATACCTGACTGAATCGTCTTCAACTTGCGTTCCTGAAAAACCCCATTCCACTAGTCCGCCCGAGAAACGAGTTGCGCATTTTCAACCCAGAGCGCTTTCAAACGTCGCAAAACTGGAGAAGGAATGTCGCCAACGTGGAATATCTGTTCAGGCCGTTTTCTTGGCAGCCTACGCGAAAATTTTCGCACAACAGCAATGTGACAAACACGGGCCCTTAGGATCAAGAAAAGATGCTATATTCGGCATTTATCTTTCGAATAGGCATCTACCGGTGGCTGATATAGAGTCTTTAGCCGCACCCACCCTAAACATTGTCCCTATACGAGTCCTAGCTCCAGGAAATAAATCAACAGCAGAAGTGGCTCGCCAAATCCAGGGCGACCTAATGACCATTGGGGACCCAGAGAACTCAGTGGTTCCATTATGGCGAATCAGGGAATGGACCGGTGTACAGGTCGATTGCTTCTTCAACTTCTTGAAACTTCCGGGCAGCCCCATGTGGAACTCTAACGATGATGGGACAACAGTTGGGGCAGACAGGATTATTTTGGAAGAGTTTACCCTTGGTAACGTCGACCTTGCGGTCAGGCCCGGAGCTCACTTCGAAGGAAACGCGTCTATGAATAATATTAAGGTAAGTACTGTCCTCAACCTCCTCAAACCGCCGACCACTAACCAAGGATTCCAGACAAATGTTGATATCGAGGTCGCTGTCCGCGGCAACCAAGTTGATGTGGGGGTATTTTCTACAACTAGGTATCTTAAGGAGGAGGATGCACAAAAGACGGTCCTCTGGATGCGCGATATAGTGGAGGGGAAATGGGGGGTCTGAACAAAGGCGATCACAGTTCCGTTTATTTCCTTTATTAGTTCCAATACCATCCTGTAAAATTGCCGTAACTTGGGGTGTAAACATAGCAAGGTCTTCATTTCTCTTTGGATTTTCCTAATAATATTATCATGTCATATCATGACAAACCCCACGTAATACCAGTACTCATTACCATGCATAAGGTTGCCCTGCCCGTACCAATATCAAGAGTTTACTGGGAGGTACCTGCTATCCTAGGCTTTCTGCCCCACCAATACCAAGCTGTGATTGCAGTGCCATTGCACAGTGCATACAAGTATCATACCATGCGCTCGCTATGGGCAAAGTAACCGCGGAACGATAGTGCCTGTCCGGGGCTAAATTTGCGCGCGTCGTTTTGAACTATTTCAAACGCCCTCCCCCACCGCCGTCTCATCTTCCACCTCTCCCCGACCCAAAGTGTAGAAGAAAAAAGAAAAGAAAAAAAGAAAAGATGAATCGTACCAATCGAAGGGCTATTTCCGTCCCACGTTCCGAGTGATCGGGGCCCGAACCGCTTTTACCGGGGTTTTCGCCTTTTTCTTTTCCCCTTCTCTCTCAAAAATCCCAAGGATACGGGCCCAATTGAAGGAAGTTGCCGTTCCTCCAATCACAGCCGGTGCGTAGTTGCCCACTCGCTACCAGGAGTTGAGCCTGTGGGACATCCGAGCATTCGAATTTGGTATGTGATTCAGTGGCACAGAAGCTGTACCGGTATTCTCACTAAATAGTAAGAACCTCCTTTTCGGGATTCTGCAAGCTTTGGCCGTGTTTCATCGGGTTTGGTCGAATCCTCTGTGTGAAAACTGGGGTTGTCACGAACACTTCGGCTGAGACATTGGATAGACGGGCTGGAGGTTTTTCTACCGACGCCGTACGAGTACGAGTACTAGTACTGTACAATGTATCAGTACTTGGGTTCTGTACGAGTTACCGTACAAGTCTGTACCAATCCCCCTCAACCCCGGTCCACCCCCCCCCCCCCCCAGCAGTAAAATCTAATTTCCATAACAAGATACTTGTGCGGAAGGAAGAAAGGAACCCGTGGAAGTCCGTCGAGCAAGTGCTTTACCGGCACCGGGCTAACGGAAACGGCTACTGTGGTCCCCTCTTTCCTCTCTTCTTTCCTTTTTCTCGATCTGTGTTTTTTTTTTCCTCCTCCCGCTCGGTACGGGAGGCCGTACTGCTCGTACTTGTATACTTGTAATAGGCAATAAGTACCCGACAACAGGGATTTGCAGTATATATGCAAAAGAGAAAAAAAGTGCGTGTCCGAGAACCCATGGAAATCCACGATCCCTGCTTATCGAGCACTTCTTGCCTGCTTTGAGTGCGGTACTCGTACTGTACCTCACCCTACACATGGGAATTATGAATTATTTAGAATTTGGGGGGAAAAACGCGGCCTAGACCGAACAAAGATGGGGCTGTATTCTTCCCGTCCCGCCGGTTTGCGGAGCACGTTCGAAAGCAGCACCCGGCCGGGGGCGCCTGAGTTCTTGGATTCGGGTAGACGGCGCAGCACATACCCACATAACCCACATGCCAGTATCAAGCTATCCTTTGTCAACCTGGTTACTGTACGAGTACCGTACGGTCTGTTCCAGCGTCGCGAGGTTTCTGGCATCGCCAGTACCTGCACGGAAAATCGGCACCACAAACAGATCCTGACCAACGAGGACGCAAAGACTTGCCAAACCCCGCAGTGCGGGAACGGGCTGCACTTAAGTTGGTTCGTTACTGTCTCCGGCCTACCAAATACTCGAGTACAGTAGAGCACTTGTAAGTTCACGTGGAGGAGGGACGATGAGGAGGAAAAAAAAAAAAAAAGCTAGAAATGCGCCCCCGGACTCAAAGACAGGAACGGTAGTAAAGGATGTCTACTCCGTATAGTAGACCTTCACAACACAAGAGGAAGAGGACATTGCGGGGTCACAAGGGGTTAGTGAGAAGTCCACTCCAGCCCAGTAATACGTCCGTGCTTGTGACCGCACGGACGATTCGCCATTGTGCAAGCTACCGTACTGTAAAAAAAACCCCTTGTCGAGCTAAGGACATGACCCAGATTTCAAAAAGAAATCTTGGGCAGCGCTAAAGAATCGCAGGTGGGGGAGGAAGCAAGGTCTCAGTCTGCTACTGACACTTGGGCTCACGGGTGGAGAACGCAGGTTCTTCCCCTTGTCACTCCCTCTCTCCGCTGCTCGCAAACCGCCTAGGCTTGTTGGCTCACTAGAGATCACTCGGAAATAGCGTGATAACCGCGCCACGCGATTCGTGCTTGGGCTGCAAACTCGGGATCCCACATCCAATTAGTAGAGTGGCCTGACGCTGGGTGTGGGGGGGGGGGGGTAAGGGGAAGAATGGAATTGGCCCACGCGATCCGGCCAACAAAACAACAAGCGGTATATCCAATCGCGGGTAATTTGCCTTCCTCCTTTTTGGTTATGAAACGAAAAACAAAAAAAACTGTGCCAACGGTTGAGGTTAAAAATTCTTGTCTTAATATCTTATTTAAGCGCCGTACAAAATAGTAAAACATTAATAGACCAACTTCATCCTGTGCCATCCCTATAAGAGCTTCATAGAGGCCCTGCGGGCTCCCGATCTTTTTTTTTTTAAATCCTTTTTTCCCCCGAGCCGAATTAATAGGATCGCTCCATTAGGACACGGTGTTCACTTTTGTAATATAGCGATCGCCGGGGTTTTTGTTTGCGTGAGGTGGTTTGTACTATTGTAGACGGACATCGGTTGTTCTGACCTATGACACAAGTCACCGAGTGAGCAATCGTGACCTCAATTTGTGGTGATGGGATTGTGGTGGGGTCTCTCACTGTGGGAAAATATCCTTGTGCTATGTTTAAATTGCTTTGCGACCGATGCAGATGTATCTAAGGAGAACATGTTAGTCTTAGTCCGTCGAGGCGTGCTTCCTCCTAGTGTGAAGGTCAGGTATCATGGCTGGTGTGTGAAGGCTTACAGTCCAACGTATGGCTTCAACCCGATGTTATCCAGTTCTTCTGTCGCTCTCTGCATCAAGTCGTTGAACTGGTCGTCTGTCATATGGAGTCTCTCGGTGAGGGGGATGCGCATATGGCCACTCATAGCTGCTTTGTACGAATAGTTGAATCTCTCGCCGATTTCACGCTCCTTGGGGTCTGAAGGTTCAAGATAGATTTGTTAGCAAGAACAAGTCATGAACACCCGAAGAGTCCGTGAGCTCGCTGTAAGAAAGGCTTGTTGCAGTGTTTCGCACTCAAATTTGAGCATATTACGGCCGTAGAGAACCCTGCGTGCCCTACCACAGGTTTAGGGAGAGGTTCGACCATCCCAGCCCTAGATCTCCCAAATCTCTCGACGGCTGACTCAAGCGCTCAAGATTGTTTTAGGGGTGCGTGATGCCTGAGCCCTGGGATTGGTGAATGACTGGCCGGGGCGTGAACCGATGGCAGACAGCGAAGGCTAAGTGACGGGCGCAAACACCAGCCGGGCTTGACAAGCTCACTCACAAGACTCATGGGGTTTCTAACGAGAAGTGAAATAAGGGGAAAGAGATTGGGAAACTGACTTATCGACCACCCATTTAACGGCAACGGGATCATTCTGCCTGCCACATCTACCATCCCGGCTCCTCGCATGAAGGACTCGAGTGCCAATGGTGCACGAAGGTCTTTTGAGTTCTCTGCCGCCAATAGGAATTTTGTGCTCATTTCCCGAAGGGCGTGCCCATCCGTCATAGTTCCATTATCTGACTGGACATTGTGATAGATTTCTACCATCTGTAGCCATCCTCCTGGTCTCAGTACCCTAAAGAACGCCGATATGGTCAGCCCATGCCGTGCACTTCAGTCGCCCGATATAGGAGCCGGTCTCGTTGGAGGGTTTTGGTGCAAAATTGGGTAAAGGGGGGAGGCGAGGAGATTCAGTGTGCTTGTTTTTTGTTTCGATGATGTGCGAGGGAGGAGTTTTTTTCTTGACAGCTGGGTAAAGTGGAGCCGCTGATCAAGCTGTGGATTTTCTCGGGGGACACAAAACAACTCGAGTTCGGCACATGTCACCAGCAGAAATCGCTCTCATAACCACCAACCCAAGGAAAGAAAAACAGAAGAGAAAAAAAAACACTTACCGAGCGCAGTCTTTCACGTAGGATGGCCACCTTCCCTTATTGATACCAGTAACCACATTTCGAGAGTGGATGAAGTCAAATTCATTTGTGCGGAAAGTGAATGGTTCGTTAAGGTCGTCGACCTATATTTTAGAAAAGGAAGTGCCGCCATGTTAATCACAAGCTTATATTGACCAGCTGCAAAGTCGCCGATGAATTCAGAACATGAGTTTCTTATCATACCTGGAGAATGAGATTTTGTGGTGGGTCATCGGGCATCATGTGGGGAGTTATGTCAACCCCAATGACCTGGTGATTGTCAGAAAAGCTGTTTTACCGGTATTGGGGCTCAGGGAATTTTGGGGGGAGGCAGACTTCACACCGTGGATAGCTCATGGCGACATCAGTCGCCCAACTGGCAGATCCATACCCGCAATCCAGAATTTTCCTGGGATTATTTACCGGAGGGAATATCAACCTTCGATCAAAAACTAACTTAAAAATTTGATGCTGGGTTTCTTGTCTATCTCGTTCATACTGGGCGGGGGTTTAGCGTCGATTCTTAGGACCAATTCCCGAAGGAGAGGAAGATCACCTCATCAACGGGTCCGAAGGATGTTCCGTGGTCGACAGCCCATTGTTGGTATGTTCGCCCCTGTATCTGAATAGTCGCTTCAAACGAGGTATCAAGCGATATGGTATCGGACTCAAGATTGCTAAGTGGTGAGATATCAGAACTGCTGCGGGCCTCCCGAAAACTAAAGCGAGGAAGGGTGTCCCATTGGAAAAAGAGGAAGAAGGAAGGATTCAATTACCTCGACATTGTTGCTCTTTGCGGTTCTGAATTATCTTCCTTTCGAGGGACTAGGCTGGCGGGGTTCGGATAATAAATTTGAAATAAGTAGCGGACACTGAACTCCTTGGATCTGGTGTTGGCACTGACTTTCCTTGGTGCCTGTGGAATGTGAAAGGCAAAAAAAGCACGACACGAGTTAAAAGAGCACACGAATATAGCAGAACACGGGGCTATTAGAGTGGAAAAATGGGCCAGGCTCCGGTGGATAGCATTGGTACACCCCCCCGTCCGTCACTGCAGCTTCTAAAGTCTTATAGCTCGTGCTGCACTTCTCTGTGACCCAACAGTTCAGGCATGGATAAGTGTCTGGATTGAGCTGCCGCGATAACCCCCATTTCCATGTCCTCACCTTTCCCTTGGGTTTTCTTACGAGTAGTATCCATTGAGTTAACGGGGTGTGTTCCCGCACCGTACTACTGGCCGTTGTAGATACGGCCCTGGACCGTGGAGTTGGGATTTGTTCCTACAAGGAGAGGTGAGATGGTGGTGGACTAACACACTGTTTCAAGAGTTCCTTTTTTTTTTTATTTTACTTAAATCATCACTTCCCAAGGGGGAAAGAGGTGTATTGTACTCGTACGAGTAAGGTATTGTGCTATGCCAGGATTTGGTTCTCAACCCGTTCCTGCTGTTGGCCTTACTTACTGTTCGCCTTACTCCGAGAAGAACTCTGGAGATAAGAAGCGTCTGTGCGGGGGGGAATGGCTGAACAAAAATGGCAGAAGCGCCCTCTCCGACCACTTAGCCAACCCAATCCCAACCAAACCAAAAGCATATGCGAAGGTTCCAGATGTTGAAAGTTTCTCAGGATCCCAGAAGTGGGGATACACCCGGAATGACCGGAACATGTTGATAAAAATCTACGCACGCCCGAGCTAACGGATGGCCCCTGGCTTCCCGTGGAGAGAATGGGTTCCAAGTACCGGTACGGTGAGTGCAAAAGGAGAATTAATTGGGAGTCATCCAAGTTTCTGAAACTAAAATTTCCGGCGTTCCCTCGAAACTGAACGGTGGGAAACCAGCAACCACTTGAAGCTAAACCGAGAGGCTGGTTGGGAGTCAGTGTGGGTGCCTCGATCCAAGACCAAAGCCTCGGGATGCGGGTCCACCCATTCACCCCCAAAGAAAAAACAATAAGGGCAGGGAGGGAGGCACGGAAAAGTTCATTGAAATTACATGTTGCACAAGCATTGCCGCAATTGTTGCGTGCTCTTTCTCCCTCCACTCCTACAAGTCTTACTTTCACTTCGGGGTCTATTCCCGGCGGTTCGGTAGAGTGCCATACTCTGGGAAGGTTGCACTTATTACCGTAGACCACCATTGTTTAGCTCTTGGAAAGATACTTGTACCTATCTCTGATATTTGGGTGCTACCGGAGGGCTGTATTCCGGTCCCCTCGTCCGTATCCGCCGCTTTTTCATTCCCCACATATAATATTCCGAGGTTAGGAATAGTTCGAATGTGGCAACCGTGCGGACCAATTCTACCGGTCACGTCACAGCGAGAGCTACCCGGCCATACTATCTTTGGCGAAGATGTTAGGTTGACCTGAGGTCATTAACCGCTCTAAAAAGTTGCGGAATCTGCGCCCGGATTATGGGATACTGTAACCCCCCCAGTCCCACCTTCTGCTTGCGCAGCACTACCGGTAATACGATACTCAGGCACCGTAGTGTTACTTTATTAAAATTCCCCTACCGCACAGAAGCACACAGGAAGAGGTGCTCGAGTCTGCGCACATACATAAATGAGGACCCACTCGGCATCTTCATGGCACCGCTGGAGAGCGATGAGGGGGTTTGAAGCGTGGGTGGTTAGGGAAACTAAATTTCAACGTGGCTAAACAGAGATGCACACCTTCTTGATCGAGTTCTTGAAAATGACATAACACATCTAAAAAAATTCCCTACAGAGTGCATGCCAAATGTTTTATTCACCGCGGGAAGCACTCCGGATCGGAGAAAGCTCGCGATTGATCATGACGGATAAAGGTGAAGCGTTAGATTTCTGCTCAGCTCCGGTGACCATAAAATGATGGCTCGTTTGAATGCTAAAGATTACCAGCCGTAGAGTGCAGAGGGGGGGAAAAAAATTGTATGCCAAATCACCGCCTAGAGGCTTTAAGAGGAACTAGGTGATCTAGAGTATAGATTATTATTATCTTTCTTCTTTCCTTCTTCTGTTCATAGCCTTAGCTATCCATGAGTGGATCTAGCGTAAGATTTATTTGGGGGATTCAGCTCATTGGGATCCCTCGGGAGGTGAGGAAACAGGAACAAGAAATTTTATCGCATGTCTGCTGGCACTTCTCCTTGTGATGCTTGGAGATGCATGCAAGATATGAAAGACAATTTGGCCCCACTTTATTCCTCGTAATCAACCCCACTCACCCCTGCGTTAGGAGCTTCCAAGGACATCGTCAGGCGAACACTGCAGAGTCCCGGGAGATTAAGATTGACCATCAAGTCCCCTCTTCCCTTCAGAGCTTTTCCCTCTTTGGCGACCTCCAATCGGTGACCTCACGAATAGAATTGGATGTTCCCCGCACCCCCTTAGACTCATAATGGCTCTTCCTGCCGGCCACTTGCATGGAGCCATGTAACTTTTCCAAGGAAAAAAATCCCGGTCTTCATTCAAGTGGGTAGGATCTTGCAAGACAAGTGAGAGAGCTTGAACGGCTCCAGTCAATGCCAACAGAATAGCCGGTCTGCCCGATCTCGCTTTCTCATGACCCCCACAGCTGAATAGGTTCCTAGCGTTTTCAAGTCGCGAGTGACGGTAAGGCAATAATAAGCAGCAGAATGGCCCCCGTCTTGACCTCGTCCATTCATACTACCGGCACTCGTACTTCATAGATTACTCTCTTCAGTGCGCAGTGCGCACTGCAGCCGGATTCTCGAGAATTGACCCAACCCCCCCTATGTCGAGCGGCTTCCCGGCTGCCCCACCATCAAGAGCGACCCGACCGGCCATTAGCATCCTGAGGACGCAGTCTCGTGGGAATAGCGATCCTAGCATGCGTGATCATTTTATACAGTTTTCCGCACCATCCGTAGATACTGTTAAGCGTTAACCTGGGGACTCCGGAAACCCGCAGCGAATCTCTCAGGTGTGCACCGGTGGCATACCGGTAACTTGCCGGCCTCCCACATCTAGCATGTAAACCCATTTTCCTCCACAGGATCCTGTACCAAACTAGCACCGTTACTTGTGCGACGAAGACTTTCCCCCAACCGGCGTTGTTAAGATTGCGAGGGGCAAGACGTCAGAATAAAGGCTTTGTTCTAGTCCCCCTTTGGGAGCCGGGGAAGCGGCCCGGGTGCATACTCACTGCTTGGGCTGATGCCAATTCCTACTCGGGCGCTTTTTTCCCACTCGGAACCGTGTTCGTTATGTGCTCGAGTACAAGAAGCCTAGCTCTGTGTGCTGTACCGAGCTCCCCTGGAAATTTGATTTCCGCCCGAACGGCAGACGTCTGTGCTCACATACAAGCACTGCTTGCACTCGTAGTCTACATGCCATTGCGAAAACCCGAGGACAGGCGGACCCGCTCGTCGTAAATGGTTTGCCTTTGGAGTTTTGAGACTTTAAGTGGGTTGCCACAAGCGTCTAGGGACCAGGGGATGCTAAACGGCACAATATTTCACTCCCGTTTCAGCAATGTACGGTAAGTCTTACCTCATGATTTTTTACTTAGACTGACATGCAGATTTTTTCATGCCCTCTAATTAAACTAAGCTCGATATTGACTAAACAGTTTAGACGTTGAAGAGAGGGCTCTGATGATTATTACAAGTATTGCCGGTACCGTACACAAGAGACTCCTTTTTCTATCCTTACTCTTGATTGGGACGAGAAGCGCCAAGCCCACCATTAAAGAGAGCCAAATTTTACCGGAGATGGAATTCGCCTATCTCTGCGGGAGGGCTAAGGGGTAAACAAAAAAAGGGCTGGGAGGAACGATGCTATCACCATTGGGCTCCAGTGAAAGATGCGCTGCTGACTAATAAACCGAGTGAGAGCACCTCACCAGTCATGAACCCAAATACTTGTTTATTAGTTGGCGGAGCACGCGAGACGGACAAGTTAATTTTGGCTTTCCATCGAATATCAGGCCCCCAACCGGGAAATGGGAGTCCCCACAAGAGCTCTGGGGTATACATAATTGGCGATAATTAGGTAAACTGTGCCGCCAGCCGCTGCGATAACTGGCTCGCTGGCAATCGTTGCACGATCTGTATCCTGATTTCTAAACCGACCGAATTCTACGAGCAGTGGTGATGATAAGAGGGCGGGTATTCACGTTAAACGTGTATGGACACAAGGACGCACCGTAGAGACTTAGCGTTTCTCTGCATTTCTCGAAAAAAAAAAAGGATACCATTTCTCTTCGCGATTGTTACTTGCTTTTCCTCAACACAACGCACTGCCCCCGCCAGTGGCTCGCAGATCCTGGCCGTGCGGGAGCTACCGAGGCCCACAGGACCCGTTACCCCCTTGCACGATAAGACAATTTCATACCACATTCTAGCCTCTTGAGTTGAGTCTCGAATCACTTACGAGATAGGCCTTGCGGGTTTTGGCCGGTCCTGTGTAATAGCTATACAGCAGCACTAACCGCTGCTATATATTTTGTGGCTAGCCGAACTCGCACTTTCAACCTAGGAAAGTGAATTTTAAATTACCTATCCCGGGTCTCTTATCCCGGTTGGGAGGTGGGTTTGCCCTGGGAGGAGACGATTCCCGAATCTTCTTCATGGAAGGTCACTCGACACTCGAGCCTCTTGTCTTGCATGCATCGAGCGGCCGTGGGGGGGCCGGGGGGGAAAGTATTGACACAGCCGGAAAGTCCCGAGTTGGGGGAACACGCCGGGTTGGCTCTCCCGGCATTTCCTTCCGACTCTCGCTCCCGTTGTGGTCAGATACCACCCACCGTCCATGGTGGTAGCACACCAAGGTGCACAAGCGACATGCACGGGTGTGGAATGTTTCTGAAGCAAACGGGCGAGTACCATCCGCGGGTTCTCACCGACCTATTGTGAAGGGGGGAGCGTAACTCGAAGTTAATCGGACTGCGGTGTCGACTTGGTCCACCTCTGCCCGAGATCTTTGGGGAATAGGGGGATCAGGAGTATGACAACCCTCAATTCTTTTTATGTATGATACAGTACGAGTACAGGCTTTTATTTTTATTTATTTATTTTATTTTACCTTTATATTTGTTTTTTGGGCCCAGGTCACAACAGTGACCCGCATGATTCCTAGGTGTCAGCTCTCGGATCACACATCATCTCACCCGCTTCAGGAACCTGCAAGTTAGCCGGCCTAGTCTCGTTGTGGAACATTCTGTTGAGCTCGGGTAGTGGAATTTCCAGTCCCGCCAGACTCACTAGTTAGCACCACGGAT